GCTCCCAGCTGAATGCTGTATGTGAGGCTGCCCTTCCATATTATGGACAATGGATAACATATTGTCCCTTAATTCAGCAATAGCTCTGACTAGCATGAGCCCTTTATGACTTTCTCACCTCTCATTACTATGGAAGTTCTGATAATACCTACTGAAATGATTGCCAGTGGTATGCAAGCACATGGCTGTTGACGCAGGGTGGAGCCCAAGTTGCTCAGGAGGAGATTGTCTCTGGGGTATTTATGCCATGGGCATGAATGAAATCATGGCACCTGAGGCTGTAAAACATGATCCTTGCAACATGATTTCTGCAGAGCATGATCCTCACAACCTGTGTTGATTAAAATGTTGCATACCTCAGATGCAGATCCTGAGGACAAAATTTCTAGACATATCCAGGGAGCATGGCACAGAATGGGCACAAGGGAACTGGGGTATATACACATACTCCCCAGTCAGAAACATCAATAAAACAGGTACATAGTCATAAATGTGTATGAGATGTTTGTCAGCATGAGAAACAATTTCACCTGGGCAGAAATGAGGAAGCTGTGTGCTTTCATTATTTCTCTTGCTCCTGAAGTTTTCTCTCATCTGGTGCAGTTTGACAGATACCAGCTGCTTGTGGAGAACAAAGCACAACAAAGAGGATGATAAAGAGTTGCAAACTGATTGCGCTTTTATTCTTTTCATGACTCCAAGACCTATAGAGGAAGATTTCTGTAATACTCTAATTTATTTTAGGTAAGTCATATTTTTAAATATACATATACATTGTTTTAAAAATGGTCTCTATAACAGCTCCTAATATCACTCTAGAGCTGACAATGTGTATGAAAAAAAAAAAATAAAAGTGTGAGCTGTGAGAAGAACGGATAAAGAAGATGTGGCACATTTACACAATGGAATACTTTTCATGCACCAGGGATACATCCTGGTTCTACTGTCTGAGGTCCCTTAGACTGCCCAGGCCTTCTGAAACCCATGTTCAGGGGGTTTGAGTCAGTCCAATGCTGGATTCACAGCTATCAGTCTGGGGGGGGGGGTCGATTAGCTACTCCTTGTTCAGGCCAGCTGTTTTCTGTAGGCTGGTCTTGACCCCAATTTCTTATCACTCACTCCTTCCTCTCTGCATCTGGATTCCAGTTCAGCTCAGCATTTAGCTGTGGGTGTCTTCTGCTTCTGTTTCCATCAGCTACTAGATGAGGGCTCTATGATGGTGGATAAGTCAGTCATCAATCTCATTATCAGGGAAGGGCATTTAAGGTAGACTTTCCACTGTTGCTCAGGTTGTTAGTTGGGGTCAGTCTTGTAGGTCTCTGGACATTTCTCTAGAGTCAGTTTTCTCTTCAAACCTCTTTTATGCTCTCTCTCTCTCTTCTCTCTCATCTATTCCTCCCCTGACTCAATCTTCCTAGTCCCACATGCTTTCCTCTCCTCCTCTTCTCTCTCTCCTAGCTCCCTCTCCACTCACTAACCCCCACACTCCCAATATGCTCAGGAGATCTTGTTCCCTTTCCCTTCTGTGAGGGATCTTGTATCAATCTCTTAGATTCCCCTTTGTATCCTAGTTTCTCTGGCGGTGTGAAATATAGGCTTGTCTTTTCCTCTATGTCTAAAACCCATATATGAGTGAGTACGTACCATCTTCCTCTTTTTGTGACTGGGTTACCTCGTTCAGGATAGTGTAGTGAGATATTCACTTTGTCCACATCTGTGGCACTGACCACGCCCATTGGGGGTGGAGACAGGGGTGGAAGTGACCTAGGGAACTAGGTCTGAGGAGGAGCCTGGTAGTGCTCCCCCATTCCCCATGGAAGGTTACTTACTCCCTTAACCTAGAGGCAGGAGGAGGGCCTAGTCCCTGCTCCAAATGACTTGACAGATTTTGTTGACCCCTCCTGGAAGGCATCACCCTCCCTGTGAAGTGTGTAGGGGGGAATGGGATGGTGGAGGTGGTCGGGGGACATGGGAGGGAGGGATGGAGAGGGAACTGAGATCAATATGTAAAAAAAAGAAAAATAAATTAAAAATAATTTTAAAAAGTTAGTGTCAAATTTATGGTGTGATGTTTGCAACAAACTGTATAGTCATGGAGGCAGTGGGCAGGGATGAGACTACACAGTTACTGACACAGTAGGCAAGAGGCAAACTGTATGGGCAATGAGGCCACAGTTCCTGTCGTATAGAAACAGCTAAAGCACAGGATTATGGGTCCACAGTCAGACAGCCCTCTACCCTATGAAGATAGTGTTTTACAGGAGACAATCATACATCTAATTTTTATGCCATTCACAGCAGTCTTTCTATAATTCATTTAGAAATAATTTCCAGTGTGCAAGGTGATGAATGATTAAAGAAAAGGTGTGCACGATACATTGTCTTGGCATGTGGCATTCTCTCAAAGAAAGCATCACTATTAAGAAATTGCAAGCAGAGCACACCTCCAACTTTTAATGTACTTTTTTTTTTGTCTTATAGATAAAATAATATAAAAGAATCAAGACAACCCAGTAGCATCTACACAGGTGTTACAAAAACTGGATATTGAGTCAGGGGCTATAAACAAAATACTTCCTTAATTATATATGTTTAGTCAGACAGGAAGATGTTACCACACAGTGGATAGGGGCTTTTAGCCTTGACACAATGAACTATCATCCAATTGTTTTAGAGATGAAAATTTCTAGATAAAGGATAATATGCAGAAAAACAAATTGGTTGTTTTTTGGTATTTCCTACAGCTATTTAAAGTAGGCCTTCACTGTCAGAGGTCGCAGTATAGACTGCCCAGGTCTCCTGAGACCCAGGTTCAGGGGGTCTGTGTCAGTCCTATGCTGGTTTCCCAGCTGTCAGTCTGGTGTTCACGAGCTCCCCTTGTTCAGGTCAGCTGTCTGTGGATTTCTGCACCCTGGCCTTGACCCCTTTGCTCATCACTTCTCCCTCTCTGCAACTGGGTTCCAGGAGTTCAGCTCACTGTTTAGCTGTGAGTGTCTGCTTCTGTTTCCATCAGCTACTGGATGAAGGCTCTAGGATGGCATTTAAGGTAGATATCAATCTCATTATCAGGGAAGGGCATTTAAGGTAGCCTCTCTACTATTGCTCAGATTGTTAGTTGGGGTCATCTTTGTAGTCTTTGGATATTTCCCTAGTGCCAGATTTCTCTTCAAACTTATAATGTCTCCCCTCTATTATGGTATGTCTTTTCCTCCCCTGACTTAATTTTCCTGCTCCCTCATGTTCTCCTCTCCCCTCCCCTCCTCTCTCCTAACTCCCTCTCTACTCACTGCCCCTTCCTCTTGTGCTCCCAATATGCTCAGGAGATCTTGTCCCTTTCCTTCTTTTTGTGACTGGGTTACCTTACTCAGGATGGTTTCATTCAGTTCCATCCATTTGCTGTGAATTTCGAGATTCCATTGTTTTTTGTTTTGTTTACACCCCCCCCCCCCCCCGCTGAGTGTACTCCATTGTGTAAATTACCACATTTTTAAAATCCATTCTTTAGTTGAGGGGCATCTAGGTTGTTTCCAGGTCCCTGGTGCATGAAAGGACTTCTGGAGCACATTCCCCATGGAGGTATACTCCTTTAGCCTGGAGACATGTGGGAGGGCCTAGGCCCAACCCCAAATGATTTGACAGATTTTGATGATCCCTCTTGGAAGGCCTTACCCTCTCTGGGGAGTGGATTGGGGGGGGTATGGGATGATCGGAGGGAGAAGGAATTGGGACCAATATGTAAAATAAAAATATAAAATTAAAAAAATATAGTTACACAGATAACTGCTTGTAAGCAAATAAGTTATATGCTTTTGTTTTTAGCAAATACACAAATGCATATACATATACATGTGTACATGACTGTACAAAAGTGATTGCCTAGTCATGACTTTAAATTCGATAAAAACACTGTTGAGTTCAAAAGCTTACCATTCAAAAGCATACCATTCTATTGCAATGTAGGAAAATTTTTACATCATAAGGCTATTGAAAAAGATGATACAGTTGAAGCAGAAAATCCTAAACCTGATCACTTCATTAACTTGTATAGGATGGAATAACTCCTAATATTTACAAAGAAGTGGAAACCAAATATACCATCTGGTTCAAAGTGATAGACTCCAATTAAAAAAATTTTGCCACTCCTCCTTAAATATCCTCTTTAGTACATTGTATCTCACTCAGATGAACATTTGCATAGTCAAATGCTTTTCTCTGTCCTGCTGGTCCTTGCAGCTGCTTATGAAATAATCTCTCAGAGGCTCATATTAAATATAATTGTTTGGCCAATGGTTCAGGCTTATTACTGGGTAGCTCTCTTATAAGTTAACCCAGTTTTAATAATCTGTTTATTACCACATGGCTTTGGCTTACTGGTAATGTTTTGGCATCTCACACCTTCAGTGGCTACAAGGTGTCTTCCTGACTCCACCTTCTTTGTTTGGATTTTCCACCTAGCTACATTCTGCCTGGCTATTGGCTAATCAGCTTCTTTAATTAGCCAATGCTAATAAAACATGTTCATCCGGCATCACATTTGTTTAAGTTAAACTCAGGTAAGCAGGTACTTGTGTATGAAGGCACAGGAAGACTTCCTTCCCCAGGACTGGCTAAGAAATTCCTCTGTACATACATAAAGTAAAATGGAACAGCATGAAAGAAAAGTAGCCACCAGTGTCTTATTAATCAATGAAAGCCAAGAGTCTCAAGAACAGAATGAGTTCTTATCTACACCAACATTAACATCAACTGCTGGTATAAAACTCAGGACAGGAAAAGAAACCCAGCAGGAAATGAACCTTCAGTGTCCAGTCACAGCACAGCTCCTCTAAAGGAACTGAAAGAAATGAAAATTTGGTCCTCCATACAAAGTGTAGCCTTATTTTGTAACTCTAGTGGTCACCCTGGGCATGTTAAACAAAAAGGTATTTTAACACATTCACAAGAAATGTCTTTCTGTACAAAAAAAAAAAAAAAAAAAAAAAAAAACAAAAAACCCTTAACTACAGTAAAAATGGGAATGGTACTTTAGCAGCAAAGTGTGTTCTGAGAATCACAGATTATAAAATCCCCCCCAACACTGCACTGAATATCCGGACTAGATGATGTCTTCTGCCACCATGGTGTCAAATATCTGGTAACATATCCGCTGTTCCGTTCCACTCCTGACGTTGTAGGACTTGATGAGGCACTCCAGCCATGGGTATGCATCTATAGACCAAGAGGGCGTGTCATTCAAGTATATAACCAGTAATGCTAATTAGTTTCTTCCCAACCTCAGATGAAAGTGATTTCAAAGTTTACAAAATACTTGCTATAGAGGCAGTCAATCATGTCACCCATGTTTCACTCCTCTTTTTATGCTGACTGCTTATAGGACTCCCCTGGCTTTTCCCTGATTGACTAGAAAGAGATAGCACCCGAATTTAAGTTCACATCAGCTTGAGTCTTCATGTGAGATGCTCAGATGGGAGTAGCTTTGGGTCTCGCCACAATAGTAGCAATGATGCCAACCTCATGTTTGGTGGGGAGCAGGGCAGGCTCACTTCTAACATCAGCAGAAAGCTTATAGGTTTATCAGGCATCTGGTATGGCACTTGAGCTCACCTGGGATAACGTGAGGATCTCCTATGCATGGCTGGTGTAACTTACACTGATACACCCACAGACACACATACATGTATATGTCAAAAATTATCATGCTCAGAGACTTATTTCTAGAAATCTAAACATGGTAAGTGCAATAGCTAACACAAATTAAAATTGAAAAATATAAATGCATCTGGGTCAATTTTCTCACCCATCTCTGGGAAACTGATGTTACAATGCACAGACTGTGGAGGAACAAAACTCTAATGATGAGCAATGTCTAACAGTCACATCAGCAACAGAAAAACAGGGGGGGTGTTTGTCATTGAGCACAATTACTACAAAAATCAAACATCTTAACGTAATTTAGGTCTGCAGGTTCCAACAGAGAAGAATTTTGGACCACAGAAGGACCCGGTGGCAGCAGCTACAATGGACACAATTTTCACCAGTGCAGGAACCAGCGGACAAGCTGATGTCTATGTAGAACCAACTAAAGTTCATAGACTTTGCAAAATAAAATGGAAAATTCTGAAGCTCACTAATACCACCAAAGAAACTCAATGAGTCAAATCACTGAGTCAAACAAGAGGAATTCAGTTTATTTGAGGAAACGTTTGCAAACTGCATTCATTTGCTACAATGTACAAACTCAGAATCAAACATGCTGTGACCCAAACCACTATGCTTCAAGTGTATTCCAAAATATTCCAAAACTTTATTTATATTTATTTTACTTCTGCTGCTGTCACATCGAGACATGGATAAAGGTATTGCTCATACTTAGTAATTCCCCTGGATGCAGAGTTTGCCTCCTTCCATCCCTAGTCTATGGATCAGATCCACACTAGGTGCTTTCTCAAGAAAGAGAAAGAGGCACCTTTGAAATACAACCTACCAATTTTTATTCCTGGAGGACAAATCACATTCATGATCTTTTCCAGATTCCTCTGAAGGTCGTCATCAGTGAGGACTTCTGATGCTGGGATCTGGAAAAATTTCTCCTAAGAATGATGGCAAACAAAGGAGATACTCATTATCTGAAAAGATTTAATGCACCGAATTTCAGTAACTAATTTGCTAAAATGACCTACTATACATACATCAGTCTATTAAGATGTGGGACTCAAACTAGAATTGTCTATGCTAAAACCCAATCCCTCACTTGAATTCCAAAACGTGAGATGCACATAGATACATGGTAAGATCATGTAGCAAGGCTGATGACACTATGTACCCAGGAAAATAAATCCAGTGTTTAGTATGAAAGGATAGAACATTAAGAAAAATTTATTTAATTTCTTCCCTTCTATGTTATGTTTTACAGATTTTTTTTCCCCCCTTTACTAAATGTTCTATCTTGGCAGACATCAGCTGCTCAGTAAATATCCATTTAATAAGTGACTTCATGAACTGTGCAGCCTGGAGGGAAAAAATTACTTAACTTCAACTTGGACTGTGTTCTATTTTATGTTAAGTTAAAAAAACCAAACCAAACCAAACCAAAACCCAAATATCCAAAAGCAAAAAACAAACAAACAAAAAACTGTCTTACCCTAACAAAAGATTGGCCTTCCTCTTAGCTTTTAGTATGTCATGACTTGTGAGTGCCAGCAAACTGACTGTCACTCTGGAAAACCTAACAATGTCACCTGAAGTTGGAGAGTTTGGCTTACATAGCATTAGCCTGACCTCAGGAGGAGAGCAATCAGCCACGTGGGCAGTCAGTTATGACTACCTATGTGATGAAGTCACATCAGGTCCTAGGTCAGTGTTCTCCATCTGTGGTTCAAAAGCCCTGGGGATGGTGGTGAAATGACCCTTTCACAGGGGTCGTATATCAGACACACTGCATACCAGATATTTACATTACAATTCATAATAGCAGCAAAATTATAGTTATGAAGTATCAACAAAACAATTTTATGGTTGGGGTCATCAAAAACATCAGCATTAAGCAGGGTTAGAAACACTGGCCTCTTCCCTAGCTGCAAATAATCCATGTATATTGTTATACTCAGTGCAGGAAAATCAACAGGCTCAGCTTTAGAGGAAGAGGGTGAGCTTGGGAATATCAAAGCTAAGGGAGGCCTCAAGGACTTCTCTGGTGTGAGGACTCTACATTTTATGCAGTAATACATCTCTGCTTATCAGGTGACTGCATTTCCTTCTAGATGGAACTGTGAGGATGTACAGTACAGTGAGGTGACAGCAGCGGGACTCTACATCTGCTCTTTCACCCAGCAGGGGAGTTTCTGAATGAAGGGGATAGGGTTCCTCAGATTTTCATTCTTCAACTTCATAGTTTAAAAAAAAAGCTATACACCACACAGTTTTCAATTTATGTGACTGTATTTCATTCATATGTTCTAAGAAATACAGAGAAACTGAGTTTTAGGGTTCAAGAAGTCTCAATAAGTCACACCGATGTAAAACTTAAGTAGGATGAATATTAAAAATTGAAATATAAATTTTAGTTGAACATTTTTAGCATGTCTGACACTTACAGAATCCTTGAGGAAAGCATCCAATACTCCTGTTCCATCATCAAAAGTGAAAGTCATAACAAACACGTACTGCAGAGGAACAATACCCAGAACTAGAGAGAGAAAAGAACACAATAGTTCAGGCTGCTAGATTTTCTGTAAGGTAAACTCAAAAGTGCTTTATTCTAGTGCACAGGTGCAGATAATGTTTACTGAGAGTATTTACAACAGAAAGAATGGATTCTTTTCTGGGATCAATTTGCTAAACCCACGCAACAGAATGCCTTAGGAACACCCGACTGTATTTACACAGAGGTAGTTTCATGATATACTTGGTAGAACCATAACAAATTAATAAAATGTAACTCATTACATGTTAATTATATGAAAAATAAAATAAAAACCAGTGTTCTAGAAAGCAACACACAGTTCAATATTGTTAAAAGCTTATCCCCCTTTTTGCATTATGAGTAGAATATTGCTTCTTCTTTCTCTTTCTCTCTCTCTCTCTCACTCTCCCTTCCTTTCTTTCTCTTTCTCTCTCTCTCTTTCTTCTTTTTCCTCAGAGACATCATCTAGCTGAAAGAACATATATGCCAGAATTTGGGGTTCCATAATTGCTAGGATGAGGCAGAACGAATAAACAGGAGATACTAAAATTGAGAATTTGCAGTTAAGGCAAACACCTTTTTCAAGAGTTGAAGTCACTGAACAGATGTATGGAATGTTCTATTACCTTCCATTGTTACAGATCATATTCCGATAGGAAGATTAAATAGGGAGGCAAGACAGAAGCATAAATTGGAGCACAGACACAATTTTTAGTATGTAATAGCAGTAAGACAGGAGCCAAGTTTCTGGCTTCAGAAGGTCTCAATAGTTACACTGAAGCGGCCCTAAGGAGGATGAAATTAAAACTATGGGAGATGTGAAGCAGCATTGCCCAGCTTCACAGGACAAGCTCATGTGAAGTAACATGGGATCTCACTGGTCCAGTGTGAGACGGCTGTACAAAACAAAAACTATAACAAGAAGCACACACACAAGTTTTAAAACAGAATTTCAGTCGAGGGGAAGGAAGTTGGGTGTATAGTTTCAAGAAAATAATAATTCTCACTAAATTTTGAGTTGCCCAAACTAAACTTACAGCGCTCAATGGCAAACGCTGAGGGGGAAATGGCAAAGTGGACATTTATTAAGGAGACAAGGGAGTCAGAAGAATGGAAAAGTAGCAAAGGCAGGGAGAGTGCTAACTTGAAACATACACGATAGAGACACAACAGAAAACGTGAGACCTACAGAAGAGGAGATTACAGCCATCTCAATACCTTGTCCAACACTAAGTATGAGTTAGAAAGATTTCCTCAGGATCTGTATTTGCGATCAATGATTAAACGGAAAACAAGTGGTCAGATATTGAAATGTGGTTATGACTACAATGCTTGTCCTTACTTTTCATTACAATTGTTGCAAATGAGTTTCAGTTAAGAAAAGTTATTCTAGTTTTGCCATAAGTATTCACAAATATTGAAACATAAGTCAGTGAGCTGACAGAGCATAAACATTTTAGGACACAAATATCCAGCTTACCTGCTGCCACAGAGGAAGGAATCCATAGTCTTTTATTAGGAATGGTACTTAGGTTTTGTATGGGTTTCAAGTTTGAGCACTGCTTACATCTGAAACAAGAAAAAGCTGGGAAGTATTTAAGTATATACAAGTTCATTTAATTATTACATGTTTAAGTGTGAACAGTTTTAGATAGGCAGCTATTAAATAGAAGAACACTTACTTCACTATCTACACTGCAATGTGATTGTCTCAAAAGAGACTTATAATTAATTTACTACATAAATCAATAAAAGACGCTATGGATGTGGTGACTTCAATGAGAATGGCCCTCAGAGGTGAAATATTGTTTATTTTGCACCTACTTAAACTGTTTGGGAAGGATTATGAGGCGTGTCACCGGGGGTGGCGCTGAGGTTTCAGAAGGCCAGGTTAACTTTCTCTGCCTCCTACTTGTGGCTGTACAAAACAGTGGGCTCTTAGCCATTGCTCCAGCGAGTGCATGTCTGCCTGTATGCTCCTACACTCCCTGTCATAATGACTATGGACTAATTTTCTTTTATAAGTTGGCTTGGTCATGGTGTCTCCTCACAGTGATAGTATGATGACTAAGACAATGGGCTTCAGAATAAATAACTTGAAACTGGACTCTAGGTCCAAATCATTACATAATGTGGCTGTTAATTTTCTCATCTGTTAAAAAGACACAAGAGAAGTTGCTAGAACTCCTTGAATTTATGGCTCTATAAGCAATATCTAATGGTCACAGTCTTACAAAAACATAGTAAGAAGAAAATTATTCTGAATGAATAGTGAGGACAAATTACTATTTGTAGTGAGCACATATTTAGAGGCATTGCGTATGTAGCCTGCATATCAGTAACTGTCTAAGATATAAGACATTTGAAATGAGACACTTACTAAAACTGGACAATATTTAGTACAATCTGATATATCAATATTTAAGTATGAGTAATAATTAATAACTAATTTTATTAGCCATGATGAAATGTACATAAGATGTAGTAAGAAAGTATGCTTAGAAAATATATTTGAATAATAGTTAGAACTCAAGAGTACGTGTAACTTAGGAAGTGGGAAGGAGTAACTGCTTTCACATTATCATTTAGTCATCAAATAAATAGATATTTTCTCGCTAACAATAATAATGAAAAGATAATGGAATGAAAATTATTCACTAACATTAGCAGTGATATAGCAGGTTGGCATATAATTTTGCTCTCCTGATTTAGACTTAGGCACTCACTCTGTACTAGGAAGGAGAGAAGGATGGGGAGAAAAGAATGAGGGGTGATCATGTCAGAAGCAAAGCCTAGTTTGTGGACTTACTCAAAGGAGAACAATAGAACATGATGGGCTTGGATATTAAAACTAAGTGGTATACAACCCTCGCAGGACAGTTACAGATATAAAGACACTCGGTGCTTCAGAGGAATTAGCTACAAACACTTTTATTTTATGCCTTAGGTTCTTCACCCATTCACAAAACAAAAGCAAAGCCCATTGGTCACTCTAAGGGTGACAATCATGTGGCTATGACAGTGGCAGAAGTAATTTTCTAGTGAAAATCAAAATTTAGGCTCACTTTAACTAACAAATGTTACACATTTAGAAGGAAAGGGAGTGGATAGAGAAACAGTAACAAAATGTATCGAGGCTGCAGTGTGAGGCTTCTCAAAGCAAAGTGTTCTCAGGGTGACTATTTCATCAAAACTATCCTTCCAGGCCAGAACCTGCAGACTCCGCACTCCTCTCTGCCAGTCTTCAGTTGCCCCAACTCTGCAAAGTGCTGGATGCAGTTCTGGAACTCCCTCAATTTCCAACTAGGAAATGTCCTGTTAGCTAGTATCTAAACTCTTATGGGAGAAGCAAGTTTAGTTTGTAACTGAGAAACAAAATGTTACAAGCCTTATATGTCCCACATGGAGTGTTTAGATCTCTAGAAATGTGTAAGAAAAACAGTATGGATACTCTAAAACTTACAATAGGGTTGTGTCAATACATCTAACTTCAGAATATAGATAGCATTCAGAAAGTCATTGCTGACCCTGCCAGGAAACTCTAGTTTCTTGCGTGCTAGGGCGCTGAGTGTTTCACCAAACACCACCAGATTAGAAAAGACTAAAGTGCAACTACAAAGGACAGCTTGCTGAACCTGTACCAATCTGTACCACTGTGACAAAATCATTTAGCTTGGGAACTATCTCTAAGTAGAAGCTGGCACAATAGGATCAACTGGACATAGAGTGGCAGGAGGACAGGTAGCAGAGACGCAGTTGTAACCCCGAAACCCAAAAGGGACACACACCCATAGTGACACACCTTTCCTCGGATGAGGAATGGTGCTGCTATGTCTAGGAGCTCCAGGTCCTCAGGGCCGGACTTCACAGGGATCACACTATGAAACATGCTTGACAGTTTAGAGATTTCACAGAGCCGTCCTCCTGTTAAAACAATAAAAAAACTCTTCAACAGCACACAGAGAATCAGAGCAAGATGCAGGATGCAAGTAACATTTGTGACACAGCAAGTATTACAAAGAAATGCACAGAAAAGGAGTTACAAATTTAGGAAGAAATTTAAACTCTGCATGACAAAGAAAAAATTATGAACTGTTAACATAAGAATTAGATGGAAAAAGCACAGGAAACAAGTTGAGATTCCAATCTCACAGAGTTGACAAAATATCAAGGCTTTTCAAGGCTCCTTTCTGTTTAGGTTGAGGATTCTCATCCCAGTACTATGACCCAACAGTGACACCCAGAGGCCAAGACGACAGCTTCACATAAGCAATTGGCTAATTTATTAGTGCCACTCTGAGCTGATGAGATTATATACAGGAATCCAACAAGTGTGTAAATTCGAGTTTAATTCAGGTTCAACTCAGGTAGATATTCACATATATTTGAATCTGATATACTGTTTAGAGAAGTGTAAATTAATAGTATTTTTACTTCATAGGTATCAGGTGAACATAAAATATAGTTAACAGGACTGGAAAGATGGTTCAGTGGTTAAGAGCACTCCCTTCAGGAGAACCAGGGTTCAATTTCCAAGCACCCACATGGCAGCTCACAACTGTCTCTAACTCCAGTTCCAGGGGAATCCAACACCCATGACAAAACAACAAAGCACATAAAAAGATATAGTTAATATTAATAGGGGAAAGTATACAAAAGAATAGTTGAAAAACTCAATAACAAGCATCTTACCTTCAATCAATATTAGACATTCATTTGAGAGAGGGAGGATGCCATCACTTTTCACAAAATGGACAGCGACCTGCCGTCCTCCTTGACCTTCGGTGGTCCAGACTTCTGAATCATACAGTGATGTACCTTGCAACTTGCTCTCTGGGGCTTTAGTTGCAGCATCTTGAAAAATTTTATCCACATTTTCCTCATATGGGACTTCTTGCCTAAAATGATCGATGACAAATTATCAGCAAACAATGTAGGTATATTCTCAGAAATTCCAATCTAATAAGTTATTCCAAAACAAAAGTATCTTAAGGACTGAAAGGATGATTCACAAGTTAAGTGCACTTGCTACTCCTGTAAAGAAACAAGGTTTATTTCCCAGAACCCACACAGTGACTTGCAAACATTTGTAACTAATTTCTGAACTTCGTGGACAACAGATAAACATGTGGTGCACACATACATACTCTTTCTCTCTCTCTCTCTCACACACACACACACGTGCATGCACACATATACATACACACATACATACACGCACGCACACAAAACATAAATAATCTAAAACAAACTTTAAATACTATTTTATATGTAAATTAAATTAGCTAAGCTTGCTTAAACAGAGATTTAATTTCATTTCAGATTTAACAGATTTCATTCAATAGGTGCTTAACACTGTAATGGTTAGTTAAGTCTATACCATAAACACAGAGAAGTTGTATCTGTGTGAGTACACACATGCCATGGTGATGTGTGGAGGTCAAAGCACAACTGCCTACCATGTTGGTAACAGGGACTTACTTTACACAGGTCACCGGGCAGCAGGCATCTTCACATGCTGACCCAGCTCTTTGTCCCATACCCAGTGTAAAGCCCAAGGTGACTTAACAGTTATTCCTAGTCCTATTCTGTTCTCATGTACAAACAGCCATGTCTTTACCCCAGTTAACCTCATTGTCACAGGAAACCTACTTTAAAGTGTTATTTAGCTCCATTTGTCTTTAATGATTGGTAATCCATACTAGTCTCATAAACTACCATGAAGTAAAAATAGCATGTTTGGAATCAAAAGGCTGAAGCACTTATTTTCTTTCTGTCACCAGCTGGGCGTGTATCTTAAGGTTATTTTTCACACTTTTTAAGATGCTTTATTGTCTAGAAGAATATCAAACCATAAACTTATTCTTGAAAAGCTATATAATACTATGGCATTACATGAAATATAATCTGGTAATATTTCACAAATTACCTAAATTCTTCACATATAGTTTAATCACAATTAAGAGTTTATGATCACACAGGTAGCAAAGATATTCCTCAATTTTTATTAAACAATTTAATGATTGACTTTCTCCTGAAACACCATAGTCTCAAATTTTACAAGACAAAAAAAGTATGCACATTACTCTAAAAAAGGTATTAAGAAATAATATGTATGCACAAATATGTATACATCTCCAGGTACATTTACTTATAAGAGAGTGAAAGCTTGATGGAGACCATGGTGGTCTGAACAAAAATGGTCCCGAAAGGGAGTGGTGCTATTGGGAGGTGTGGCCTTTTTGGAGAAAGTGTCACTGTGGGGGTGGGCTTTGAGGTCTCTCTCGCTCAAGTTTCCCTCAGTGTGACTATCAGTTGACTTCCTGTTGCCACTCAGCTCTAGCACTTCTGCCTGCATGCCACCATCCTCCCCGTTACAATGACAACAGCCGAACCTCTGAAAATGTAGGTGAGCTACCCCAGCTAGATGTTTCCCTTAAGAGCTGCCATACTTGCAGTGTCTCTTCACAACACTATTCCAGTGTGCATGTTTGTACAGTACCTGTATTTCCCAAAATGCCATTCTGTATTTTGAGGGACTATGGTACATTGCATTGAAAATATAAACAAGATTTAAAACTATCTAAACATGTTTTGAGATGAATATATATTGATAAGATTAAAAACCATCCTATATGACTATATGTTTATATATTCACATAAAAATTGGTATTTGAATGAAGGCATTGCACTTACTAAATTAGTGACTGAGCATGACAGGAAATTTTGATACACTTATTTGGTGTATCAAAACTACCAAACATTGGATTTCAAGTCTGAAAACACCTATTTTTTACTTATTATTATAAAGAACGATTTAAAAGGATTTTCTTTGTAGGAATTAAGGACTTTCCCTTTAAATCATTAGCATTCTTTTAAATTATGATAAATTAAATAATAATTTCTCAGGACTTAAAAACCACACACATACAATATGACATGAACTTTTTTTTTTTTTTTTTTAAATGGAAAATACTTACAATGAATGACATTTAGGACAAAGAAGTTTAACAGACTGGAGAAGTCGTTTGGGCTCATATGACCTCAGTTTTGCTAGGATTCGATATTTCCGAGGCGCTTTTTGCTTCAAAACAGCACACAGTGGTGTCTTCTCTAAATAATGGTGATCTATAAGCGCTGTAAATAAATTTTACATTAAATAGGAGTAAATGAAGTATGGGTGCATTCAGCATGAATTTCCTGGAGGCAAATGTATACCATAGAATCACATTAACCCCAGCTACAGTCACAGTGATTCTAGATGCGCACTTGACCCATGGATACAGAGCCAGGCACTGAGTAACCCGGACAAGGGATGAATTAGTAGAACATGAAAAAATAAAAGCTTCATGCTGAAGTTCAGAAAAGCAAAGCAGCTGGCCACTAGCTCTCACTTCTAGTTCAGGCTGAAAGGCCTGATCCATGAGCTCTTCACCAAGCCTCAAACTGCAGCCTCTCCTCAATGTGGCTGGAGAATGAATGCCTCCCACTGACTCTGTCTTGTCTTATATGCTCATGAGTCCTGGGCTTAAAGGTGTGAGCTCTGCTACTCTTTTAGTAGACTGATTCAATCTTGGGGTAAGCCTGGGCAGTCTTGAACTCTGAGAGATCCATCTGCTTTTATCTCCCGAGTCCTGGAATTAAAGGAGTGTGCCTCTACTGCCTGATCTCTATAGCTTGTGACTGACTTTGCTTTCTGAGTCCTCAGGAAAGCTTTATTAAATCATAAACAAAATATCACTACATTTTACTTACATACTAGGTATGTAAGTATTTCTGTATAGAACTAATAGAAATTCCCAGGAAATTTCTAATTTATGGAAAACACCAAGAATTATTTCCCCAGTAAAATAAATGGTACCTATGTAACATGTAAAATCCTCACTGCCAATCTCTTAGACAAACCCTTTCAGGCAACAGCTTATGTTCTAACTGGAATTTGATCAAAAGACATTAACAGAATACATTCACTGAATATTAATTGTCACATGGCCTTTTGACCGAGGTATTTCAAATTCAAGACTTTATTGAACCCTCCTTTAGCAAAGAGCTAGAATGTGGGAACCCAATTATCACCAAGAAGCAGTGTTTGCAAAAGAGATTCATTCTGCAGGTAGAAAGGGGAGATGGTAGAGGAGGGATGTAGAAGGGAATGTGGGGATTGGGAGGAAGGGAAGCATCAGAAGAGAAGGCCTGCAAACAGAGTAGATGGCTGGGAAACAAATATGGAAGGTTTGGGATGGCCGGAATGTGTTTACTCTAAACAGCTTAACATAGCAGGTATTACTCGGGCTTTTAAATATTCTAGGGTACACTTCTCTACTTTAGAAAACAGAACTTGTACACAGTCTTGCAAGCCTCAGACATCAAGGGAAATCACTTCTATACACAGCTTTAAAACCCCCAAGAGCCAGGCAGTGGTGGCCCCTTTAATCCCAGCACTAGGGAGGCAGAGGCAGGTAGATCTCTGTGAGTTTGAAGCCAGCCTGGTCTAGAGAGAGAGAGTTCCAGGACAGGCTCTAAAGCTACACAGAGAAACCTTGTCTGGAAGGAAACAAAAAACAAACACACACACACACATACACACACACAAACACTCACGGACAACTTCATGTGGTAAACAGCTGAGGGCTTACAGTGTAATACTCCCCAGCCAGGCAGACCTGACCAATTTAAAGTAAACTGAAACACTTGTTTCACTTCACATTCTGAGATAATGTCTCAAAAATTTTAAACTTCGTATTACTTTGAAGAAAAATTGTGAGAACAACATAAAATTTCCTGAGTATGCTTTAAAAAGATTCATAAATAGGTATATACTGGCACAAATAACACAGATTTATCACTATTGTGGGATTATCAGATACCTATCACTCTCCAGTTGTCTTTGATTTTCTGCTTTAATCCTAAACAATGGGTATTTATCTTTCATCTGTTCAGGCTTCAACATGAAATGACCCTTAGTCTACTTACATGTCTAACGACACTGACTGGAGAAGTGCAGCTACTTCTTTTGCTGAACATCCATTTAGACCTGGCTGGTTTTTCTCACTCTGAGATTCTGATCATGCTTGTTTGGCATAGAGACTACATATATGACACTACTTCTCAATACATCCAAGGAATGGGTCTATGAGAATGGACCTCCTCCCCTTCTCCTCTAGGGGAGGATCTAGTGCAGTTGATTGAAGGATGTTTAGCTTACTCTGCTCTGAACTAATTACCCAGCCTTGTAACTAGCAGAGGGTAAATGTATTATTCTTTATCAAACATTGAGAATCTAGTAGTTTAAAACCCACTCAATTCACAAATAAACCAATAATTATCACCGTATCGGCAAAATGATGTTATTTTAATTTTGATTTGCACATTTGTTAGTCATTCTGGTTCATAGAATTTCCTATCCTACCCCAGTTTATTATTTCCTCATTAACAAGCTGAGTTTATACATCCTGGCTTGACTCAATGGATTCTAACCTATCAGTAACACATGATGAGCACACTGTCCCAGACTGACTATTTACTATTAGATGAGAATGTCTTTATTTTCTAGCAATTCAGGATATTCTTGATTTATCTCTAATTCCTTTGTCCTACATCTGGAATCTATTTTTTTCTCCAGAGGTACCCTGGAATATTTTCTTTTCTTTTCTTTTTCTTTTGGCCTTTTAAAGACAGGGATTCTCTGTGTAACAGTCCTGGCTATCCTGGAACTCACCCAGGCTGGCCTCGAACTCAGAGATCCATGGAATACTTTCCTAAGTGTATTTTGTATGCACTACATATGCTTACTGCCCCTGGACATCACTACCTCTGCACAGTGCGCCTGCATCAATTTCTGTATATCATCTACAGCCCAAGGGGCCCTCGCTTCCAACTCCCATTCTATACTTATACCTCCTTTCTCCAACAGGACAAACTCCTACTGTATAGCAGTACACATTTAATGAGCTCCTGATCTCAAGTATTTTTTTTTTTTTCTGGATAAAAGCTTTTTATCAACTTAGTTGAAATAACTGGGATGCATCTGCAGGCACAAGGTAAAGAATTCTTACATGTACAGTGTCAAACACATTACATAATATTGAAGTTAATGTCATAGAGAATTTAGATCATTATGCTAAGAACATACTAAATACTACAAACTTTATAAATCTAAATTATTTATAACCAAACACATATTCAATACAGAAATATGCACATGTATGGGTTCTATCTTATACCACTGTAGGATGAGACAGGGAAATAAAAGCATTGAGCCATCCCCATAAGGATCTACTGTCACTGGTAGGTATGAAGAGATTGGCTAGGAAATGCAAAGCAGGTATCTGTGAGTTGGCTACTGTACCAGAAGTGAGCTTACAAAGCAGGTATATGTGCGTTGGTTACTGTACCAGAAGTGGGCTTACATGTAGCACAGAGTTGCTGGCATCTTTCTACCTCATACAATGAGACCAAGTCTGATCTGGAGCCTACAGGAAGAGAAAAGGAAATCACATAATATGTAGCTCTTTAAGAATGTTGTTAGAAACTAATGTAAAACAAAACAATACCAGATAAGCTAAAGAAAGTCTAAATATTGCAATGTCTTCCCCCCCCCAATGTATTTGTAGCTTCAAAATAATTTTAAAAAATTAATAGGGTTAGTCTTCAAGGGAAATTTAGATAATGGAAGATCATGAAAGAAAAGAACATTAGTGTATTGATACTATATGAATTCAAGACACAGTATTCAAGAAACTACAGTATTGATATAAAGACTGACAAACCAACAGATCAGAGCGTAGAAATCAAAATACACTTTGCTGACAAAGGAAGGCAATTCATAAAGAATACAGTATTTTTTAAAACAAGAGATGACTTTGCAACCATTAAAAATTATTAGTAAGGGAGCGCACATACTTCACAATACACTAATAAGTGGCACATGGAAAGCCCCAGAATAAACTCACATTGAGACCCACTTGATGTTTTGGTAAACACGGAAGCCTTCTAAACACGAAAAGGAAACAATGCTCTAATAGAAGTTCTTCTGTCACTCCTCCCACTCCACATCAAGTACTGAGCTACTGGCACACACATACTCCATCACAGATGAATCTCAAAACATAGTGCAAAAGCACACACACTTCCATTCACTTCTACAGAAAGAACACCTTTGCAAGAGCTGGAAGACTCGAGTCTATTCATCAAAATCCAAGACACCTATGAGTTGTTTAAGATAAAAATAGAGAAACCTTGTGTTCCTTTTAGAAATTGGTAAACAAAATAGTTGCCTAGGAAATCAAAACCATTTTTTTTTCTTTTTCAATGAATACAAAACACTATACTTACATTGGAAAGTAAGTAGTCACTGTTACTCTAATTTGAAAATGTGATTACATATTGAAAAGTGAAGCAGGCTTAATTTAGAATATGGCAAAGACAAATGTTGAAGGTGTTATTTTAATGTGAATACACACGCACAACCTGTATAGACATGAATTCAAAAAAGAGATGCAGGGAAGATAACTGTGCTCATGAAACTACGAGAAAGTAAAATGTCAGTGTTATAAACTGTCCTTACTTGAAGGTGTTAAACAGTTGTCCTCATTTTTTGATTGACAGGCATCACTTGAGGGCTGAATGGCTGCCAGATCTACAGATTCTAAAGCTCTGAAATGCAAAGATATGAAGTCAAATTGCATAAGAAAGTCAATACAGTAATTTAGCTCTACTCACTAAACCCAGGAGTTCATGACATTACAAAATTTGGCAGATTCCAGCTTTTATCAAACTATCTGAGAACTCCAATACCCTCAAAATTCAGAGCAAAGGTAAAAAGGGTATTGAGTGGAAGAGCCAGGCATTAGAATACTACAAAAACAAACAATCAAACAAACTACCTGGCAGTTGAGATAATGTCAACTAGGGACACTACCTCTTGGTGTAGACAAAGCCCCCGTTCTCCCCCATAGTTCTACCTGGCAGCCCTCTTTAGCCTCCCCTTCTAGCCCATCTATCTTCATTCCTTTTTGACTCCACCGACCAGTAGAACTCCTCTCTATGAGGGATCCACAGCTGTGACACTAGGCTGAGATCCAGGTAGGGGACCAACATTCTTCTTCCTGTCCTCTTCATTTTAGTCTTCCCACTTACCTTTAGTCCCACTGCAGCCTGACCACCACAGGAGCCCCTCCTCCCTGTTCACATCCCCCTTGGGGCTCAGGCTCTTGGTGCAGACCCAAGATCCTACTAATTCCAATGTCACCCCCTCAGCCTTTTCCTCTAGCCTATCTTCATTCCTTTATGATTCCTTGCTAACCAGAACAGCTCTCTATAAGGGATGTGGCAGTCATCACATTTCACTGGGACTCAGGGATCCCACAGTTACCATACTTGGCTAGGATACAGACTGGGCAAAAGAACCAAAGAACCTACCCAGCATAGACAAGACCAGATACCTACACCAAGAAATACCTCAACCATTTTAACTCCAGATGCCTAATCACAGCTCAGACACACAAACATAAACACCCAAGACCATATGACTCCTTCAGAGGTAGCAACTCTACTGTAATATGACCGCGAAAAGCAATTTAGCCAAAGTATAAAAACAAGGACTTCAAAATAGCAATCATGACTATGTTTAAAGATTTTAAAGATGATAGGAATAATGCTTTAATGAAGAATTTGAAAATGCAAACAGCTGAAATAATGAAAACAGTTCAAGGCAAGAAAGTGGAATATAATAAAGAGAATTACAAAAGAAAACCTAAACTCAAAACTGAAAATGAAAAACTAAGGATGTCAAACAAAAACCTCCCAGGTAAGCTTTATTAAGAGACTATAAAACATGGAAGAGAGACCTCTAGGCCTTGAAGACACGGTAGAAGAAACTGGCAGATGAGTCAAAAACACCAAAAAACAAAACAAAACAAAACAAAAATCCAGGCACAAAATATTCAGTAAACAGACACTAAGATCTTTTCCATGTATAACAGGAATAAAAGAAGAAGGATGAAACTGGGTCAAAGGCACAGAAAATATTTCCAACTAAATAATAACAGAAATTCCCCAACTAAGGAGATAGCCATCAAAGTACAAGAAGTATACAGAACACCAAACAGAAAGGACCATAAAATAAATTCCCCATGACACACAAAATCAAAACACTAAAGGAACAGAACAAAGAAAGGATATTAAAGGCTGGGAGGTAAAAAGACCAAGTATCACATAAAGACAGACCTATAACAACTGACTTTTCAGTGGAGACTCTAAAAGTCAGAAGGGCGTAGACTGAAACCATGGATGCTAGTCCAGACAAATGTACCATTGAAACCATCAATCACAATAGATGGTGAAAAAAAAAAAAAAAAAAGGCATTTCACAATAAAAACACACTCAAGCAAGTTCTGGGCACCAATCCACCTCTACAGAAAGGGCTAGAAGGGAAAATTCAGTCTGAAGAGAAAGTATACAAGAATTAATAAATAGTACTTATTAATAACTTCATATTAATGGCCTCAATTCCTCAATAAAGAGACATACTAACCCACTGGATTAGAAAACAGGATCCATCTTTTTGCTACATCCAAGAAACACACCTTCACACATTAACATCAAGGATAGATACCACCTCAGGCAAAAGAATGGAAAAGGTATTTCAAGTAAATAGAACCAAGATGTAGTTATTTTAGTATCTGACAAAATTGAATTTAAACCAAAACTAAGCAGAAAAGATAGGAAGGCACTACCATACTCAAAGGAAAAACTTAGGGGATATTGCAATTTTATACGTTTATGCACCAAGGACAAAGGCCCCCAAGTTCATAAAAGAAGCACTACAGCTAAAACAACATACCAACCTTCACACAAAGGAGTGGCTGACCTCAGTCCCTCACTCCTGACAATAGACAGGTCATCCTGCTAAAAACAGAAATGCTGGAGTTAAGTAACCCTAACCCATAAGCTAATGAACCTAACAGCATTTAGAGAACATTCCACCCCAATACTAAGGGATATACTTTCCTCTCAGCAGCCCATGGAATTGTCCCAAAAAATGACTACATATTGGGACAAAAAACAAGTCTCAACAGGAGACTGAAATTACACCCTGTATCCCATCTGACCTCTTTGGATTAAATCTGAATATCAACAGCAAAAAAGCTTATGGATTCATAGAAATTGAACAAACTACTACTGGAAGAAAACTGGGTCAAGAAGGAAATGAAAACTATAGAACTGAATGAAAATGAAAATATACTTAATCTTATGGGACACAATGAAAGTGGTTCTGAAGGCAAATTTAGAACTGGAGAAATTTTGTAGTAATAATGTAAAGATACCCTTAAAAGCTCTAGAAAAACAAGACATAATAGACATAATACCTAAAAAGAAAGAAAGAAAGAAAGAAAGAAAGAAAAAAGAAAAAAAAAAAGATGGGATCAAGTTCAAATTAAACATCAATCTTACCCAGCTGCAAACCATGCAATCTGCAGCAGACTCCTCCCAGCAATATATTTATTCCAGTGCAATATTGGCACAAATGTTAAAGAAATAACTCACCATTTTTAAAAATTGGATTGAAGACTGCTAAAGTGTACAAGAACTAAGTACAAAGACATGGGCCTTATGGTAAAAACAAAACAATATATATATGATTATTCTGCTACAGGAACAGCAGCAATAAAATGACTCACTCCAATGACACATGGGTATACCCATAAAACAGAGCCATTACTCAACCTCATCAAGAAAGCTTCTTCCTGCAGTAGGTAGTAATTAATGAAGAGATCACAACTGGACAATGTGCACAGAGTTGAGAGACTTTGAAGCATTCAGATCTACATCAAAGCTCTCCCCTCAAGGCTCAGAAACCTATGCTGAAGAGGAGGCAGAAAACAACTAAGAGCCAGAGCACAGATGCACACATGACCTCACAGAGACTATGACAGCATTCATAAGATCCACACATGCTCAAATTAGACAAAATCCCAGTACTGAGAGGGGAAAATGGACACAAAGTCCCACCCTCAACCAATAAGCTATTTATAAATGATACTTGCTGACAAAGGGAAAATCAGTTTTGTGCAATGTCACTGAGTAGGGTCAACATCACTCATTCATGCCCAAAGTATTTGCCCAATGCAAAAGAGACTCCAAGGTTTTTTTGTTTTGTTTTTTGGGTACACTCTTTGCTTTGTTATTTTTGGTCTCTGTTGATTTTGTGTATGTGTATCTTTTGGTTTGTTTTCCTGATTGTTCTGTTCTATTTATTTATTTATCTATTTTATTTATTTTAATTTTGAGAGAAAGAACATGGAGTTGGGTGGGGAAGAAGGTGGGAAGGATCTGGAAGAGATGGGGAGTGTGAAAGGATATAATTAAAATATATTGTATGAAAAAACATCTTAAGAAAATATATTGGAAAAGTGAAATAATATGCTGATATACTGTGAGCTACAATAATATGGAACTAGTAAAACAGAAAATTAATGTTAAAAGCAATTGAATAAAACTGGTTATGACAGTAATTTTACATCAGTTTATGGAATGGTGTGCTTTCTCTTTGAAGATGCATGGATTTTCCCTCTAGAATGTGAAAGTGTTTCTCTGTACACGGTACCCACTGGAAACATATGGGAGACCTGAACTCAAAACAGTGTTTTAGATGCTATTTTTTTTTTTTCTTTTTAACAAAACCTATCCTGTACAAATGTAAAAAATGTAAGGTATTACCATGCTTTGTGATGCACTTAGGAATTCATTATTTTCACAGTATGATCAGACAAGTTCTTCAGTTCCAGATATGTAATCAAGCAAGTTTTGTATACTGAAAGAAACCTGTTTACCACTGTTTGCTGCTATTCTCATTATGGGAAGTGTTAAAAGAACATAATTGAAAAAAATATAACTACTTACATTATATTACTGGCTTTACTACATCACACTACTTGGATAAAGAGTCACTTTCCAGCTGGCTTACACATATTGAAAAATAAACAGTGTGGAGAAGGTTCAAAGGAGTCATATTTGTGGCCCAGTTTGCCTAGATTGGGTTAGGGAGATCGGTGGCCTGGTCTACCTAGAATATGCTGGGGAGTAGATCAGTGGCCTAGTGTGCCTAGTCAGGGCTAGAGGCTGAGATAATTCTCTGCAAGGAAAAGGGGAGAAACAGGAAAAAGACAAAGGTCTCGCACAATCCAGGAATGATGATGATATCTTGTAAATGAACTTAATGATGACCACATTTGTATTTTCAAAGCAGGGACATAAAATACTCACCTTTTCAGCTGATCTACATCAGGGTTACTTTCTGGTAAGACCCTGATCCCCCGGCCATAGCTGGTCCCTCCATGAAGATGAAACTCCAGCCTTATCAGTGAAGTCATGGACTCTGAATTAACTGGCTGAAGTTTGGTATGGAGGCTGTAGATTCTAAGGAAGCTTCCAATCTGAAAGATTATTTGAGAAGATCATTTCAGAAAAGAGACCCAGTGAAAACAATTTCTATATTTGAAACGTTCATAACCAGCAGGGCTAGTAATGCCAATAACCAAGGTCAACATCTAACCAGAGGACAGTGGCAGCAGGGCAACTGCGCCCTAGCATCAGCTTCATGGATTTCGTGTCATATTGTGTGTAGGGCAGGCTTGTGAGCACACCAGTGTGCTCATTACACAACACAAGCAGGCCCTTTCCAGAGGTCCATCAATAAAATATGAGGAAGGAATCCAAGCCTAAATAAAATTATTTTTGATAGTCATTTCTGAATGACGATTTTAAATGAGATTAAATAAGAGGAATAAAATCCTCTCACTATAAGACACTAGAAAACTTTAATCATGTAATTACATAAAAATGACCTTTATTTATTTATTTTTTTTACAGGTTCATTTTCTTGATAGCCACGATAACACTTGTGCCTTAGCCTTCTGATGGCTGGGATTATATGTATGTGCCACATGTGCTTTTCCCCATCCTACAAATTCTATGGGAATCAAAATTTAATAAAGCACTTGTACTTTTATCACAATCTTGCAAAGTATATTCTGTAAGCTGAAACACAGGATTAAGCCAGAATTCTAAACTAATAATGCTAATATCAATGCTAAATTTGGTCTAAAAAATGTTAGCTAGAGAACATAAGATACTGGGGAACACTGTTTATTTTTTATGCCATGGGTTCAAACCCAGCCTGGACAAGCTTGTTTTAACAAAGACACTGACATTACCCAAAGGACAAGCCACACAATGTAAACTGCATTAACTTTTATGTAGATGTATGAACAAAACTGGCTGTAAACAAGGACACTTTGTTCACTTGCATAAAATAGCTAGCATTCCTGACTGCAGAAGATGAGTAAGAAGCCACCTTTCTCTTTTTTTCCTACAAATCCTGCACCATTGTGCTGACATACTACAATGGAAAAGAGGTACCAAATGGAAGAAAGGGGAATGGGGGAGGGGGGGGAGAGAGAGCGAGAGGCAGTACAACCCAGCTTCCACTTTGAACTCTCCTTGTTAATCTTTAGCGCTGATGGAGCACAAACCATGGAGAATAAGCACGGGACAAAGATCCATTCTCCTATCACCACTCTTTGACTTCCAAAGTCTTTCCTGCCAGTTTCTGCAGGTTTCATGAGGGCAGGAAGGCAGGAGGAGGGAGGTGTCCCGAGCAGCTTCTGCCTGTCAGTTTACATGCTCCTTACAGGTGTCTAGTCTACTATCCCTCAACTTCCTTTCCCTGATCCTACATCTTGGATGGACTGAAGAATACAGAGTTTCGGAAAAACAAAACAAGGAAAAATACAAGGGAAATAAATATTTTCTAAGAGTGATAAAAAGTAAGATGCTAGAATAGTAAATAAAACAATTTCTGTTTTACATGATTTTTAGAATATTTCTTACTTTTTATTAGTAGAACAGATATTTCTAACTTTTGAAAGACCAGAAAGGCTGAATTTGGAGAGGAAAGAATTACATTAATAAACAGAGGCTTAACTATCAAAAGCATAATTTCCATCCCATTAACTTTTAAATCTAAGAAAACCATGGTCAGAAACTTCAGTGTCTTTCATGACATCTTAAATTTTTTTTCTAAAAATGAGCATGAAAGAGAAAGGCGAAGATGATTTTGGAAAACAAGAGGCTGAGGTCGCGGGGACACCAGAAGGTCCCAGTGTAGCTTTACTTCAGAGGAATCTGAAATAACTATGGTAAAATCTATAGGAGGACGTGTAATGAAAGCATGGGTGTTTATTGTCCTCCACCACACTTACTATTTATTAACAGGATTCATAGGCCAGAAAGACTGTATCTTTCTGAACAGATCACAGAGTAAAGATGACAAGTTGCTGTTACAGAAACACTTTCTAGAGACAATACTGAATCTTGTTAAAGCCTGAGTAAATGTTATGAAATGTGGCTGCTGCTTATTAGATGCTTAGTCTGGTCAAAAATGCAGTAAATTTTACAAGCATAGGAATGCCAATAAAAACACAAAAGTGTAGTTTAATCTGTTTATAGAACTATTAAAAATAAGACTGTTGCCACAAAAAAAAAGTACAATATCTTTCTTTTCTCCTGTAGCCAAACTACAGTTATTGGTCCACTAAAGGCCAAGATGTAGTAACAACTATGTATGTTTTATACTGTTTTAAAGGTTGTACCAAGAGTGTGTATTTAAAAAGTATGATTTTAGCTTACAGGCAAAAAGTTCAAAATGTCATTTTTTTATTTGCATATCTGTAAAAAATATTAGAAGAATAGCTTAATTTAAAAAGAATTTCACATCCTGGCAGTAGAGGTGCACGCCTTTAATTCCAGCTGTGATTTGAGACCAGCCTGGTCTACAAGAGCTAGTTCCAGGGCAGGCTCCTGTCTCAAAAAACCAAAAGAAAAGAAAAAAAAAAAAAAAAAAAAAAGAACCTGAGCTGGAATTGACCTGAAGGCCCCTCCCTGAAGACAAGCTGTCTTGGTACCAGAAGGTACAATTTGAGCTTCCAAAGGAGAGAAGCAGCCAGCTGTCCTACCCAGCTGTGATGTCTCTGAACTATAACAACAGCCAGCATGCACAATAACCCTAAGTAAGCAGCAGTAGCATGCATAGCTTAGTGGGAGCCAACAGTTCTCTAGGTGGATTTAATGTCAGCTTAATAAAAGCGAACCACGCCTGGTAGTGGACACCCAACCAACTACCCAGGGCTAGTGAAGTCATGGATTTCAGAGGAGAACTTACAACTGTTACTTTAGTAAACCATCACAATCCTAACTATTCTCTAAATATCTGTCCTTAAGTCCACAAGTAAGCGTAGTTATCACCACTCAAGGAAACTTCCTTAGTATGGACAAAGATCATTACAGAAAACCACAACCAAAATGGAAAACTGTAGCGTCTAGTCCTGATAAATACACACCTAAAGCACAAGTCTTGCACCTAAAGTTCAGGGGTCATTTCAGAAGACAGGAAATAAATATTATAAGAGCCATAGGTACTGGAAGTCTCATCACCAAGGCTGCCTAAACATGATCTAAACAAGAATGATACCAACAGACATGCTAAGGTGGAAGGGAGAAAGTCTATGATGCTCCAACCCTAGACAAAGAACTACAGACAACTAAGGAGAGCTGAGGGTGGGAGAAACAGTCTCCAGGAACCAGCACACCAACTGGTTATCCAATAACAAATGGTCAACATCAAAACAGACATGAAAACAGACATGCAAGTAACATTATACGGATCAGACAGACAGTATTTACATATTTACGAATCACACACTCTTAACAACAAAGGAAATGAGTCCAAAATTTTGAAAGAAGCAAGGGGTGAGGGATACATGGGAGGGTTTGGAGGAAGGAAGTAGATAAATGATGTGATATAATTATGATCTCAAAAATTACAATGAAAAGAATCTGTGTAGCCTTAAGATGGAATCAGAGCTTACTTTAACTTAGACACACATAAGGTTAGTAAATTTGAAATAAATTTCTAGACTCCAAATAACAAACCTACAAACAAAATTATATGAACAAAATTTACAACTAATTACAGCCTAAAAGAACACAGAAACAAAATAGCATGTAATTTTCTAGTTAACATCACCTGCAGGGACTTAGCTGTTTGGACATGATTGTCATAAACTACAATGTCTATCACCAGATTCTGAAGCCGCAGAATGTGACTTATGTCACCTTCAAAATCAAGGTCTTGTATGCAGACTCTCCAAGAGGGAAACTTCGTCATGGTGCCATCCCATACCTGTCATTGGGAGGTAAAGCAAAGCTTAAGAAGAATCTTAAATGAACAGATGTATACTTTAAACGTGATGTTCCCCATTCTGTGATTGTGGTATGACTAAACATGAACTGTTGGTCATATAAAAAAATGTAGAAAGAAGTGAAGACAAGAAATCACCATATGATACAACAAAAAAACATTAACCTGCTGTAGTCTGACATTTTGTTTTATTCTATTCTATGCCCAAACACCCAGCTCACATCCCCACCCCCAGGTATGGGGTAGGTATAACTTCTGAGTTACTACCAAAAACAAAGATATGAGATGAAATAAAATTGTTAAAACCATGAGACTACACTTGTTCCAAACTGAGTAACAAGAACACAGAGTATACCTAAACAAATTATAATTAAAAAGCATTTGTGCACCTACATTGCACAAATAGAATAACAGAAAAAAGGTGCAATCATTTTTAAAGACTTTCATTAAAGATTACTGAGGGCTCAGTAGCTGACAATGCATAATGCTCTTGCAGATGCCATGAGTTTGGTTTCCACCACCCATCTCAAACTCCTACGACTGCCTGTAACTCCAAGCTTAGGGGATCTGACACACTCTTATGACCTCTCCAGGCACCTGTACAAATATGCATATTCTGACACATATACATATAAAAAATACAATCTTAAACCACTAGTAAAACATGGTGTTCTGGTTAACTTTAACTGACAACTTAACACAGCCCCAAATCATCTGAGAAGAGAGCCTCACTTCTTCCAAGAGCAGACTGGTTTGTGTGTGGGGTCTGTTTTGATTGTTAATGGATACTGGAGGGCCCAGTCCACTGTGGGTAGCATCATCCTTAGGCTGGTGGTCCTGAACCAAGTAACAAACCTAGCTGAGCATAAGCTAGCCTATAATCCTCTATAATTTCTGCCATACTTATTGAGTTTTGCATGAATTCTCCATTTGGAATGTAGAGGTAATTCAGTGTGGAATAGTAACCTTCATGTTCCTGATCGAGTGCCTGCCCTGACTTCCTCTGGATTGTGATCTGGAAGTATAAACCCTTCCCTTCCCTAGCTTGCTTGTGGTCAGTGACTTATCACAACAATATAAATGATACTAGAACACATGGATGCTGAGAAAACTTGAAATGGATGCATCATGATTACTAAAAAGGAGGCCACAGTACTGTACTAAGGCAGAAAGAGGAAATAATTATATTACTTGTATACTAACCAATTATAATTCAGGGAAAATAATGTCTGCTTGCCTCTGTTTTTAATTAAGAAATTATGTCTGACTACCTGAATTATCATCATAGAACCTTCATCCAGCAACTGATGGAGGCAGATGCAGAGGTCCATAGCTGAGCACTGGGCTGAGATCCCAGAGTCCAGTCAAAGAGAGGGAGGAGTGATAATATGAGCAAAGAGGTCAAGACTATTTGGGAGATACCCACAGAGACAAATGACCTGAGCTAGTGGAAGCTCACTGACTGCAGGCTGGTAGCAAGGGAACCTGCATGGGACCAAACTAGACCCTCTGAATGTGGGTGACAGTTCTGTGACTTGGGCAGTGGGACCAGGATTTATCCCTAGTACTTGAACTGGCTCTTTGGAGCCCATTCTCTTTGGAGGAATACTTTGCACAGCCTACATATAGGCGTAGGGCCTTGGTCCTGCCTCAAAGAGATGTGCCAGCCTTTGTTGACTCCCCATGGGAAGCCTTACCCTCTCTGATGAATAGATGAGGTAGGGTGGAGGGAAGGGGGTGAGAACAGAAGAAAGGCAGTGAATGGGAACTGGAATTAGTATGTAAAATGAGAAAAGAGTGTTTTAAAATTTTAAAAAACAATGATTAAGAAAAAAAGAATATAGCTGTAATCTACCCTTGGGGTAGGGGGAGGATTATGTCTGAGGCCAAGAGGAGTAGTAGAGCACACCTTTAATCCCAGATGTAGGCAGAGCTCTGAGTTCAAGGCCAGCCTGGTCTACATAGTGAGTTTCAGGACAGCCAGGGCTATACTGAGAGACCATGTCTCAAAAAAAAAAAAAAAATTATTTCTGATACATAAGAAATTAAATACCAGAAAAAAATCATCAAAATTCTATTCTCCAAAAGTAGTTAAGGGACTAATGTTACCATATATACCTCCAAAGACATTTTTACTATTGTATGGATATTTTCAGTATATAAATGAAGGACTATTAATAAGCATACTAGTATTAAAGTTTATTCCAACAAGTCCATGACTAATTTTACTACATAGTCAGAGAACATTCTATCACACATAAATAGATCACACAGCAGGCTTTGCTTCAAGTGTACTTTTGCATACATTTAAAATTATTTCTATAAAGGAAATTTATAAAACTTAAAATTGTTATATGGTATGTAAAGACTTGAGACATATTTTTAAACTGTCCTTAAGAAAGCTTAACTTTCTTATATTCACTTCTCAATGCTGATTTAAAAATAATACCCATCAACACTGCAGCCTCAAGAGGGGGGTGCTGCCCAGGCTTCAACCTAACTGAGGAGCAACTGGCAGCTGCTGGCTACTGCAGGAGGAAGCCTGGCCACTTGGACCATGCCCAAGAAAATGACCCTCTCGAGCACAGACGGGCAGTGCTAAATGGATTTAGTGGGCTCGTTAATTAAAAAAAGAGTTAAGGGCATGAAATTGGGAGTGAGCTGTTTTGTAGGGATAAGGGGCAGTTAGAGGGAGATGTGGATGGGGAATATGATCACATTTCATTGTATACAGCATGAAATTCATAAAGAATAAGTTTAAAAATATAATAAATCCTTTCTTCAAGGTAAAAGTAAGTTACTCGAGAATGGTTGACTTATCTGAAAAAAGCTATCTACTCACACGGTGTTTTCAAGAGAAAATGTATTTTTGCCTCTATCAGCTACAAAGTGGTAGGCTTTAGCTCAGAATTTAATTACTTTTCTCAGCATAACAGTCAAAAGGTGCTCTGTACACAGACCCAGCATCTTTGCTCTTGGGAATGTTCAGTGGCTGGGAAATGCATGTGTAAGAAAGTCACATTGGTCAGGGAACATGGGTGACTTATCTAACTGTAAATGACCATATTCCTTCCTTCACGTGTTTAGTTTCTCAGGGCAATGTTTCCATACGGACGCCACTTTAAACTGCAGTGTTTCTTTGAAATGTGCCAGTGCTATCTGTAAGCCCTGAGTCTTGTCTAAGCACCACAACACTCCAATGCTTGTCTGATTATTACAAGAGACAGAGAATTAAGCACGGGGCCTTGGTCAAAGCAGTACTGCTCAAAATAATCCTGCACAGTATGGCCAAACAAGGAATATGATTAAGTAATGTACTCTGCAGGTCATTCATGGGCATTTACGTTACTGTTTTTACTTTCATTTTTTTGTTTTTTGTTTTTTCTTTTTTTCCTGACTGATTTAAAAACAAGTATGACAAGAAACATCTTAGTGTTGTTTATGCCCTTCCCATGAGCCAGGCAGTGATGACAGGAGACAGAATTTAATGAGAACAGACCCCGATAGTAAATGCATAACAACACAGCTGACTTTCACAAAGCAGCAGAAATACACATAGGAGCGTCGCTAAAGAGAACTCTGGGTTTCTTATAATTAAAATAAGAAATAAGTGCAGCATGTCATATGGTTTGCAAAATACACATCTGACAATACTGTTTTCTCTGGAAGGAAAGCACAGAGAAAAATGCAGCAGTACAGTATCAGGAATTTTAACTCAATATAAAATAGTATGGAAATATTCCATCAGAGTTCTGCTAGCACACAGCTTCAAGTATTTAAGATGTACCTTTAGAAGATATGATGCTCCATCCACTTCTGCTTTGCCCAGGAGCTGGCAGGTCAGGTCACAATACTGCATGGGTTGGGTATCAGAGAGCTTCAGTAAGGTGGAAGACGCTGAAACATGCGTGGATGCCCAAGCCCGCAAGGCTTCTACCACATTGTGGTCCAAAACAGTGAAGTTAAAGCTTTTGCTTGAAGTGTGTAGTATGACAGGAGACCCTAAGGCGCCATCAAAAGTCAAAGATGCAAAACCACAGTGGCTGATTCCCTGAAGCTCATTTTTATATACTTGGATCTAAGAACATGGGCAAAGCAGAAAACAAAATAGCTGAAGCTGAGATGTAGGGTAACTCTACTCTTTCTTACTGAATTAGTTCATGAAACAATACAACCAATGGATACTCTATCAGGGTACATGAGGATGCACATTTTAAAATAGTAAAATTTATACTTTTTAAAATAGTAACTAACAGTTATCTTGATTCTACCACACTTGCATTTTTATACTTACATGTTTAATGTATTAAAGTAGAATTGTCACTAGAGGAAAGTATGAGTTATTTATGTGGTATGGTGAAATCTAGAAGCCACAAATGTGTGGAAACAAGCACATGCAACACAGGGTAAGTTATCCTATCACTGAGTATGCTAGGCCATGCCGGAAGGACTTTCACTGCATGAGTCTTTGGATCTATCTTCAATGTCTAATACATATTAACCCTCCAGTACTTTTCATTTGCTATTGCTTTTAGATACTGAATTTCTATTTGTTTCTTTTTCAGATTCTATTATTCCATTTCTATTACTGATTTTCTTTTACTCATTTAATATTTTTAATTTGCTGAAATTACTTTGCTTAATCTTTTGGGAAAAAGAATACAGTATCTACTGGGAAATCACTGTTTAATGGACTTGATATCTGGGCCCCTGTGGAATTCATTTGGAAAGCACAATTGCTTTTTAAAAACTCTCTTCCTCTAAATTCCTCTACTTGTGTCTAGTCCCCGCCCCCCCCTTGATTAGACGCTGTAGTGAACCACTGCAAAGGTTGTGAATTATGTTACTTCCTCTTGAGAGGCAGTTTCGTTCATTTTGGCAGATTGATAGCTGAGCTTGTGAAACGGACAAAAGCTTGAGTCTATGCTTTCTTAGGGTACATTTGTAGGAAGCGCAGGTATTCCCAAAGCCCATCCTCCTCAGTGGGACTCACCCTGAAAACAGCCTTCTTTGTGGAATTATGAAGGTTTTAACAGATGTGCACAAGAAGTTTTCCCAGGGGGTGACAGCCTTTGAGAGATAAGGTAGGACTTGGTGCTGTCTAACCCATTCTAGACAAGGTACTTGTTACTGTTTGTGTGCCAGGCTGGCCACAGGCTCCTGTGCTAGCAGCCCTGTCCTTGGCCATTATGGAGTGCTGGGGCTAAGTTGTTGGAACAAGGGACTTACTCCCCCCCCCCCCATTACTAGTGTTGTTTCCTCTGTTCCAATGCCAATACCTCTACCATGAAACTGAGCCAAACTGAACTTTTCATAGGTTGCATTTGATAATACTTTGTCACAGTAAAAAGGAAAAACGATAGCTCTAAAGAGGTATAAGGTAATTTATGCCTCACTAGACTGGCCCTGCAGTATCCTGCAATATCCCTACTGCTGTATCTTTCCTATTCCCTGTTCTTGCAATCCTCAAGAGATCTTGTCCTGCCCATACAGCATAGCTTTCAGTCAAGTACTTATGGACAAAAAGCAGGCTCCTGCTACATTGTGTATAGCCCTTTCTGTCTAGTGCTGAGTCTGGAAGAGTCAAGTTCTTTTGGCTGAAAATTTTAATCTTCTTCTCAGCTAACCAGGACTACACAGCTCACACTTCAGGAGTCTAAAGTGAGACAGGCCAACAGTAAGACCCCAACTTAAATAAAGTTAAACTAAGTAAAATGAAGTTATGAGAATGTATGCTCCTATCGCTGACAAATTCCACATAGGAACTTGATAACATCAACCATATTTCGAAGTGAGAGGACAAACTCGAATGAGTCTGAATCTATATGCTTCAGGAAAGAGAGCAGGCAATTCACTTAAATAACTGACAACTGACACCATTCACATTTATTGTCTCTTGGAATGCTTACTGTCTTTCTCTAAGAAGGCAGCTATATAATTAGATACTTTTGGGGAATAATGCAGACTTCTTATTTAATAAATGTAGACTGTAGAAAATCATACCTTCAGCCCACGGAAGCAAACAATGTCTCCAACTTTATAAATGACAGGAAGGTCTTCGTAGTTCCTACTAAAGAGCATGCACGTTAACTTCACATTTGTCTGGTCCACAATTGTTACAACTGAACAATAATCTGGGAAACAAAAAAAAATATTTAACACAAATTAAGGTGTTTCAAAGCATGTCTAAAATAAGAATATGCTGATGTAAGAATGCCAAATATTACTCTTCCCTGTTACTGTCTTTTCAGAAAAAAAAAGCAGTTATCACTGCCAAACTATCCCACAAAAATTAACTGTAAGACTTGAGATGAAAAAAAAAATCTGAATTATTTTTCTAGAGAAGAAATAACTTTTTCATCACTTCAAAATCAAGAAGGTGGAAAAGAAAATCATTCCCATCAACTACCCAGAGAAATGAATTAATATAGGTATTTTTAAATGAATAAATATGTAAAAGTCAATAAGAATAAAGGAAGTAATGGTGTTCAAAAACAAATAACACTTTCCATAGTAAAAAAACAAAAAACAAAAAACCTGTTCTAATATATTCCTCTCCTGAAAATACTGGCATCTAGAGGCAGTGCACCTACACTGTCATAGTTAAGATCCACCTGTTGTACTTCAAGAAATCAAATGCAGAATCAGGGTAGGAGAGGTCTAAGTTGGAGCTTCTATTGCTGTGGATGAAACACCATGGCCAAAAGCAACTTGTGGGGGAAAGAGTTTACCTCAGCTTACACTTCCACCTCATACTCCATCACTGAGAGAAGTCGGGATGGGAACTGAAGGTAGGAACTGATGTCAAGGCCGTGGGTGAGTGGTGCTCACTGGCTTGTTCCCCATGGCTTCTTCAACATCCTTTCTTATATACCCAAGACCACCTGCCACCACCCACACTTGGCTGAGTTCCCCACAGACTTGACAACATTCAATCTGATGGGAGTCATGTTCCCAATTAAGACTGATCTCTTCCCAGATATATCTAGATTAGTGGCAAGTTAACAAAACCAACCATCAGAGGGCGATAATTTCCAAGATTAAACAATAATAGGTACTTAGCAACATGAATTTTTCAGTGGTAAAGTGAACACAAACATCATTTATCACTTCTCTTTTTGTACTTTACTTTTATAAAACTTAATTCTTTAATTCTGAAATTGAAGGTATTTTTTTGTACAATATATATTCTGATCTGTTTTTCTTTTCCTCAACTCCTCTTAGATTGCCCCCCACCGCTCAGATTCACACCCTTTCTTTTTTAGAAATAGACAACAAAATCAAAAGCAGAACAGAACATGTATTGCTTTGGAACTATCTCTGTAGACCAGGCTGGCCTCAAACTCACAGAGATCCACCTGCCTCTGACTTCCAAATGCTGGGAGTAAACGTGTGTGCCAGTCTCCTTTTCCACAGGGTTCTCAGAGGCAAAAAGGGGAAGAATTTGATGGAGACATCCCATTTAGGGCTAAGTGTTCTAAGAACTCTGTATATTGTCTGGCTGTGGGTCTCTGTTTCAAGTCTCATCTGCTGCAGAAGGAAGCTTCTCTGATGATGGCTGAGCAAGATACTGATCTATGAATACAGCAGAATGTTAATAGGGGTTATGCTATTTCATACTACAGTAGTAGTATTCTCCTAGGTCCATGGCCCATCTAGTCTCAAGTTCTTGGCCACCTGAGGACCATCAGGCATGGGTTTCATCTCATGAAGTAGGCCTTAAACCTAATCAGACAGTGGTTGGTTACTCCCACACCACTGTTCCAGAATACCATGCACACAGGCCATCACTGTAGATCAAGGGGTTTGTTTACCTTTCTCCTCTTACAGCATGCAAAGTATCTTCTAGCATCATGAATACAATAGAGTAAGGGTGAAGACTATATATATGGAAACATGTAGCTAAAACACTAAACACATTTGGCAATTATTCTTCCCATGTGGCTGGCATTTACCATCCCTGTCTTAGTTTATTGCTGTTAAGAGACACCATGATCATGGCAACCCTTCCTTATAAAGAAAATGTTTTATTGAGAAGGCTCCTTACAGTTTTAGAGGTTCAGTAAATTATCATCATGGCAAGAAGCATGGTGGTGTGCAGGCAGAGGTGGTGCTGGAGCTGAGAGTCCTACATCTTGACTCAGAGGTAATAGGAAGTCGTCTGACTCATTGGGTGGTAGGGATCATGTGCATATGAAATCTCAATGCCACTTGGCAGTATGCACTTCTTCTAACAAGGCCCCACCTCCTAATAGCACCACTCCCTATGAGATTATGGAAGCCAAATATATTCAAACTACCACAGTCCCCAAAGTACACAACACACACACACACACACACACACACACACACACACACAGATCGTAATGCTGCCTTCCTATACAGATCCTATCACATACCCATATTAAGAGTTATATCGATGACAGAATGACATCTTAAAGAATTCAAAGGATCTGGCCAATTGTGGTGCATATCTTAATGCCAGCACCTGGGAGGCAGAGGCAGGTGGATATCTTTGAGTTTGAGATAGGCCTGGGTTACAGAGCTAGTTCTAGGACAACCAGGGTTACACAAAGAAATCATGGCTCAAAAAGAAAAGAAAAAAAAAAAAAAAAAAGAATCTAAACAGAGAGCAAGGGAGATACCTTGGTCAGGGAGGCGCTTTTGCTGAATAATCCTGAGATCCCTAGCTCTTCAGCCCACTCAAGTTCATTCCTGTATATATTTGAAGACTGATTTTTTTTTTTTTCCTTTTCCTATTTAAAAAAGAGCCCCTGGGATTTTCTTTTAAGAGTGATTGTGATATGTCTTCACATTTCTTTGAAGACTATAAACTTCTTATGACTACTGAGTCTTGTTATCTATAGGCATAGGACATTATTTCATTTGTTTGTGTCACCTCTAACTGGTCCCAGAAATATTCTATACTGTTCAGAGCACGAGCCTTAATTTCCTTGAATAAGTTCATGTATACTACAGTACTGATGCTATTCTAAACCATAGTGCTTTGTAACCCTCTGAAACTGTTCATCACTGATACGCAGAAATGCAATTTATATAATGCTAAGTTTGAATCTTGTAACATTGGTAGATTCACTTATTAGTTCTCAATGGCACTGCTTGGCATGGTATTTAGGGTTTTCTACTTACAAGATTACATTCTTTATAAACATAATTTATTTCTTCTTGCCAAATTTGCTGCCATTATTTACATCCCAGCCTTCCCTCAACCACTTTGGCTAAGACTAGCACCATGTTGAATACCCAGCAAAACATTGGCCACACCTGACAAACTGCCCTTTTTACTGACTGGTATTAATGTTGCTGTGAGACTCATATGTCAAGGTGAGGTGAAGTTGAGATAATTTCTTCTATATTGTCTACATTGAGCTTCTTTAATGACGAACTTTGATATTTTTCTTAATATTGTGAGTATGTTTCTCACAGGTATTTTCTTTGTAGTTAACATGGGACTCAAGTAATATTCTTTATAATAACAGCAATCTATTCTAAGGTTGTAGACATTTAACCTTAATTACATAAAAATACTTTCACTTCCCCTCCCAACACAACTATCTTCTTAACAGCCTACAGGTATGCTATAGCTACCTGTTTTTTTCTGTTTACTTTTCATTTCTGTGCCAGATTTGAGAGTGACTGATGTGCAATTATTACATTACTGGAATGTTTGGTAACATATTTACCTGCATCAACAAATTTTATACTTCCGTATGTTTTTATGCCACATAGCATAAAAATTATATTCGTATTGTGTTGAACAAGACTCTGGGATCCAAAGACCATATTCACTTCATAAATTAAAATGGCCAAAGAACACACATCAGTTTCATTAGGCAATTGAAATCAGGATTCACACTGTTCTGACCCATGTTACTGAAGGAGTTGTGGCCCTGAGACCAACAATGGAGCTCTTGTCCATAAAATACTCCCAACTCCCAACTCAGACACCTACCAGTTCCTCTGCTTAGGTATGGAGGCTTAAAGAACTTCACAACACCACAGACATTGACAACTGTTCCATCCTTGAGTAGATTCAGGGGTGTGTATGTATAAGGTGCTACTGGGCCCTAGAGAAAGAAAAGACAACAAATTTACCAGGCAGTATTTACATTTTAAAATATTATGTTAAAACTGCAAATTCCTAAGCTTGTACCATTTTATTTTAAAAGACTCATCTTAAAGGAAATAACTTTGGAGGTATGTGATTGGGGGCAATAACGCACAGCTTCATAAGGGACCATAAACACCGACCAGTTTTCTTGAAACAGTTCTGCTCACAAACAGAAATCTATGAAAGTATGAACATTAATTATATTTCTTTAACAAAAAAGTACAAAAAAATTCATTGAAATTCAGTAACTGAAACAGCACCAGAAAAGACATACTTTTGACTTCATGTTACAGCTCTAAGAGGGTCTTCCTGATGGAGGTGACTAAGTGTGATGACGTCTCTGGACACCCAAAGGGATTACCAGAGCTCTGTGCTGTCCAGGACCTGACGCTCAATTATGATGGAGCAATGCTTAGCAAAAGAAAAAGACCTGTGCCTAAGCTCTCAAAACAAACCCATGCTCTACCTTAGTGAGCATGTCCCCGACACTGAGACGAATGGGATATAAACCACTATTAACCTGCTTACTCAAAAATCCAACCAACCAAATAAACAATAAACCACTTTGAAATTCTTACTTAGGACATTCCACTGAAAATAGGCTCTACCTATTTATATAGCTAAGTTACTCTTCAATACAAGTTAATAAACGGATGCTTCTGCATAGTTGTGACAATATATGTCTAAAAAGTGAAAATCCACCTAGTGGGGATGGGGAGATGGTCAGCAGGTGGAGCACTGGCCATACATGTGTGAGGAATAAAGCACTCAGGTCAGGGCTGGGTGGGTTTGCAGCTCACTTGTAATCACAGTGCTCTGGAGCCAGAGACAGAGGTCTCAGGGAGCAAGCTGGCTAGAGTTAGCAATCTCTGGGTCTGATGAGGTACCATGCCTCAGAATACATGGTAGATAGTGAGATAGAAAGACATGTGGTCATCAGTTGTTGGTATCCACATGTACTTCCTGTGCACACACAGTGGTTAAAGACTGCTTTTTCTTGCAGGACTCTAGCTTGGTTTCTAGCACCCATATTGAGTAGCTCATAATTCTCCTATAATTCCAGTTCCAGGAGCTCCAAGGTCTCCTGGCCACTGTGGGCACTTGCATGATAGTGGTGCCCATAAACTCAAGCAGGCACATGCACATATGCAGAGATATAGATAACAAATGCAGGTATTATTTATATTAACTTTACCAACACATGAAATTCTTTCAGGTTCACTCAGCTGTGCATATGGGAACCTTTCTATTGCTGCTTCAGTCACCAAACTTTTATAAAACAATGAAATATTGGTTTAAAAAAGTATCATAAGTATAAAGATTTTCATTGATACAATCTATTAAGTCACAATTCAGCATATAAAAACTTAATATAATACAAGTTGACAAAAAGCAAAAGAAAAGAATTTGCCTGTGGTTTAAAGTAGTAAAAACTGCAATGTCTTCACAAAGCATATATGTAGACCTTATACAGAGATATTTGTCGATAATGCAGGCAACAATCAATTAGTAGGTAAATATAGAACCGTAATACAACACCATCATATGAAAACGTGAAGGTATCAATCAGTACTCCATTGTATTGACACTATAGTAAATTTCAAGTATAAAGTAAGCTAATTTAAAATCAAGCTATAAAGTATACAATGTGTGTGCACACTGTGTATCCTAAATGAAATTAATCATAACCTTACCGAAGACATTGCTCCTGTGGAAAATTCCCTTCTTGAGTTACCAAAGCCCTGGAAACAAAACAGATACAGCTTATTTGTGTGCATGCTACCTCCAATGTGATCACAGGTTTTCAAATTGGGTTCGCTATACATTAGCAATACTCAAATTCTTTATGATGGTGCTCACAATTGCCTGTGACTCCAGGCGCATGACACCCCCACCCCACTTGGACACACATATACACAATTTAAAAAATTCTAAGAGGTAGAAAAGAGGAGTTGATACCCAATTATCCTCCTTGCACAGAACAACACCCAGACCTTTCACGAGTAACAATCACTTTAACTACAACTTTGACCATCTTCACCTCAAGCCATAGAAGGCCTTTGGGGATACTAAAAGCATCAAGTTGACCTATAGGCTCAACTGTCCTCATGGAAGTGTTTATCACAGAGGTAGTTTATAACTGTGGCAGGGAAGGGAGTAAAAAGGAAGGAGGAAATGATTATGTTCACAAAAAATGAAGTAAGAGAAAAATCCATTTTCCCTAAAAGGCTCAATTGGTTAATTTAAAATGAACTTAGGTTTCTACCAAAAGTACCTGAAAGTAGAAATAACTGCAAACAGTGGCATGAGATCTGGATGTCCACGCTTTTATAAGCCTCGATAAATATATTGAAAGGACATTTCGGAGGATAAGGAACTACATACAGGATGGTGGTTACATGGCTGAACCCTTAGAAGCATTGTGAAGCACTCTACAAGGTTCACGCAGCGCCGGAATCACCCACAATGCATTTCTCTGTCACTGAGATACACGAGTACAGGTTTAAATGAACCTCATTTCTATGTGGAGTCCTTCTAAAAGCAGGAACCCAGTTTATTTTTAATGTAAAACATCCAACTGTTAGGGACCCAGAAAATGCTGCTCTCACATATTCTGCTTTGGATCTCAAATGGAGAACATTCAGGGAGCAGCTGAGGACTTTGTCCTCACCTAATTAGAGATGCCCTCACCTAATTAGAGACCAGCAGGGCCAAAGACAGAAACTCTGCTTTTCCTATTAAGGTAACTTCATTAACCAAACTCAGACACAGCACAGAGGAAGCAGGAGGGTGCTTGTCATGGCAAGCACAGAGCAACTCTGTGTTACCTACTGCTTAGGTGAATTTTTTTATTTTTTATTGAATTGGGGACATAAATGAAGGGGAGAAGAGAGTATTCAAGCCTGAAACTCTCTCTACTCCGTCTTTCAGTGTGTTGTTTTAATGGCTCATGTGTACTGTTAACATGTTTATTTCCTACTAATCCATCTATTGTCAGTTTGTTTTGGCAAATTCAACTCAATGAGAACATTTCAAATTCCACATGCAACTTAAAAACCCAGTTTGATTAAGAAGTTCACCCAGACTTACAGAAACAGTATTTTATCTAATGACTTTGCTTCATTAAAACCAAAACATGACAAGAGAGCAAAGTAAAAACAAAACAAAAAACTGCTTACACTTACATAAACAGTTAGTTGAAAATCTTTAAATGCCATCAAAACTATGCAATGCTTATTGCCTCTGCTACAGACAAAACTACAAATCCAGACACTGCAATGGTGCTCAACATAGGAAAATTATTTTCCATCAATCAGTAAATATGTATAACTCAGAACACCACAAGTGCATATTCATAGTGGGTTTAAATAAAGAGCAGGCACCTCTACAAAGTAGAGCCTGGTTAACCTAAGCTTGTTTAATGCTTCCTGAACATATGAATCAGGATACAACCTTAAGAACCCCCATCACTTAGAGATGCAGGATAGCCACAAATGGCTGTAATGCCCACTACATGGACAGAAAAGCACTAAGTATATTGCTTAGACAACTGTAATTACTGAGACTTCCAAAATCACCACTTCCACTTATGTAAATGAGCAGTGTGAGTACATATAATGAAGCATCAGATGACTCAGTAGTAGTAAAAACAGAATTTAAATGAAACTAAATCTAAAGTAGAGAATACACTGAGACAGGGTTTATCAGTAGTGCAAAATCTCTTACATATATCAGTACCCAGCAGGTCAGACCTAAGAACTGATCTAGGACAAACTCTATTTTTACACTAGTACAAATAGGGATTCCGTGTTCACTATAAGGTCATTATCCTTTAATTTTATTTCATTCTTATCTTCCATGAACTGAAATGGCCAGGCTTTTCTCTGTTGCATTATATTTTTTAACCTTACTCATCCAACCTTAGCAACAAATTCTTAAGATATCTACAAAATTCCCAGGTTTCCGTCTCTTTCCACTTTTAGTATATACTGTGTAGAAGTTGTATGTGCACTGGGCCTGATTAAAAGTCCAGTACTCTCTATTCACTATGGTTAGCTTCTTCTTGACCCAGGAAGGGGCTATCACCCATCTGTAGCTATGCTTTGCCTGTGGGATATGTGATGCTATGAAATGCAAGGGATAATAAACTCAGTCTGAGGACGACAAGGACATCATTATCCTTGGGAGCACAGGACTACAAGAGCTGTCTTCATATCTTTTCTGGATTAGATACTAATTACAAGTTTGTGTTTTCTTTGTAAAAGTCATTATGATGACTTGTTCATTTTCCTGTAGGTATGGTTATGTCTATCCAATAAAACGCAATAGCTTAAAGAAATAGACCTAGATGGTCTGAAATACCCGTGTCTGTCCTATGTCACACTATACTCATTTGTATTTGTTTTCTTAATTAATGGATGGCTTCTGAGATTTCAGACATGAAGTTCACAACTGCGCCTTCAATTTACTTGCTCTGCCCTGCCTGAACTTTATTAGTCTACCTAACAGTCATTTACCAAACCTACTTCCTAGAAATGTCAAAACAGACATGTTTCAATTTTCTATCAGCCCTTCTTACTTGAATAGCATAGACATTAGATTTCTTCATAAAGTTTATTTTGAATGTCTTTACAGTCCACAAACTTGTTTTTATCAAGACCATGCTCACATCCTGGCACAGCTGTATCTGATGGGAATGGGGACAGTCATAAATATAGCACAGCAGTGTGACAAAGATCCAGTAAAGCCATGCCACTTTTGGTTTTGCTCTCCACAGGTTGTGTACTTGGGGGGGGGGACTTTTAATATTTATACAACTTGGGGGATAGTGGACTGATGAGAAACTTCTTATGAGGCATTTATGTCTTCTCCTAGGAGTACTGCTTCTTAGCTTCCCCGGGAAAGTCCTGTGCACACTACCCCTCCCACTTTTAGGATACAGTCTTATCTACTTGAAGGTCTTCCTTATGCCTTGGGGGTTGTGATGAACATAAAGCAGCTGGAGATCTCTTCATGAGGCTCTGAGATAGTCTTGAAACTTGAAACCCAAGCACTTATTTAGGAACAATATATTCAGAACAAAATACAAGTTTCTTTCTATTATACATGACAAATACAGCAACAAAGTTAGATTGACTGAAGTTACCTGTGCCTTGCATAAGGTTTATCCTGATGGGCAAAGAATGGTGTAGAAAGATGATAAAGAATGAGGTGTCAGGAACTCCCTTTGTTAGAAAAGTTAGCTACCACAGAGCCATTATGATGTCATATAACCAATGAGCAAAAGAATGCCAGGATTAGAGATATAAATTCTCTAAAGATATGAAATTTAAACATGGTATTATGCCAAAAATTGAAGAATAACTGCAGCAGGTGTTGTTGGCCTGAGGATTTTGCTTGGGCCTATTGAAAATTGGCAATCTGACTACTAAGAGTTAGCAAAATACAGTGCTTGGGACATGGCAATCTGCCTGGGCTAGCTTAGAGATTTTCTTTCTGCCTCACATACTTGAAGTCACAAGACCTGCCAGAAGTTGGATTATGGGGTTGATGAGGAAGAATGACTGTTATAGATAACTCTGTTCAAAGCCAGACAGACAGATAGTTAGATATTAGACATTAACTAAATGATAACCATGCTATAATCCATTGACCCCCAATAGGTTGGGTATAGAGGAAGGGACTGGGTTGGGGCGTGGGGCGGGGGGGAGACAGAAGATCTCCCTGGGAGATTTTATGGGTGGAGTTGGGGAAGGAGGGAATGGAACAGGAGGAACACATGGGAAGAGGAGAGCATAAAGAAAAAAAAAGATAATTCTGTTCTATCATGGCTTATTAATGATGACTAAACTTAGATATATATGGAAGAGGAAGTTAAACATGTGTCCAAGGACAGAGATGATATGATCTATGTTTTAGAACATGAATCTATCCCTGATTACTGAATTCTGTATGAATAAGGAAGTATTGTGACCGCCAATGAGCCAGCCTGTGAGATTTCCCCCAATATCCATGGCCTGGCTCAATCCTTCCCTCACCTACTCCTTGTATTCTCTCTGGAACAAGTCAACCACCAGGGCTATCCCCCAGCAATACCCTATATTATTTTTTATAATCATTTATTTCATATCTTCTCTCCTATTATGACATTAACTCCAGGAAGCAATCATTAAGTCTGAGTCACCACTGCAGTCTGGCTCCCACTCATGGATCCAGACCACCTAAACCAATTACAGGCTTTAAATAAGATGGACTGGTTGCATCTAAATGCCCAAGTCACTATTCCTAACTTGTCAGGATTACTTGAGTAATAATAGAGATTTCTCCCTACATTAAGATACCTATGTAAAAAGTTATATATTGAAGTCAAACTTTTAACAAAGTTACTAAGGTGATTAGGTCATGTTACTCAAAGTACAAACAGAAGGGGCAGTTAACTACTTCAACAGCCTAAATTTGAGAGGAAAGGCGAAGGGCTCTAGCAAGCCCAAGCATAGCAAACATGCCACCAATGGGTTTTACCTTTTACCCTTCTCTCCCATCCCTCTGCCTGGCTAAACCATTAGATTACAATCCTACAGCTAACCACAAGTCCATTCCCTTACTGGCCACTTCCTCCTCCTGAGGCTGATTACCAAGGACCAGCTATCAAAGCATTTAAGTCCAGCAATTCAAGTTCCACCCCTTAGCTACCCTAATTAACACGCCCAACAAAACCAACTTATCCTAACACAGGGTTTTCCCTCTTCCCTTTATAAACTGCCATGTGACTACAGTCTGTCTCCTCTCTATCCAGAGGCAATCTTTTGTTCCTCAGAGCAAATATCCTTTCCCTCTCTGTCTTGCCTCCTTTTCTCTTTTCCCTTGGCCTCTATTTCCTACTGTCTCTTATTCCCTGCCCTTTGTCCCTTTAGGGCAAATAATCTCCTCTGTGTTGAAAACTTAGTCTTGGGGCATATTGTGCCAACTTCAAGGTTCTTTTAAAAGGAATCTTGCCTATTAATGAAACGGGAGGAAGCTGAGGGAGACACTATAGCAAAGCTTTAGCAAAAGCAGCTTTACCTTCTATAGACATTGTCTACACCACGATGAATGCTTTATCTATTAAAACCACTCACATATGCGTGTGTGTCCCTGTGAAATACACATCTATGAAGTTATCTACATCTAGAGGACAAATAAAAAAGCTAAGCAGAAATGCAGTCATGTAGATCTCATACCTTAAGGTCTAATCTTCAGAATAGCTGCTTTATTTCCAAATGTTAAATAAAATTTTCCCTGGAAAGGAGACAAAAAAGTTGTAAAGCAGACTGTTTTTATCAATATATATGCAAAAGTTAGAATAGAACTTCAAAGCATTGAGTTTTTTTCATCTTTTGAGAAAGTTTTCTGAATACTAACAAAACACATATAGCCACTTGGGAGGTTCTGAAGATGGGTTCTTACCAGGGAGTTACTACTACAAATGTGTCTGCTACAACCTAACCCCTGCACAGAAAACACGGCAGGCATGTGGGTACAAATGCGTATCCATGCAAGTCTGGACTGGTGACAGCCTTGCTGCTAATAACTATATCTGAAGATTATTATGACCATCTTCAGAAAGCATGCTCATTGCCTTTAAAAACTTGCACTGCACTAGCCCTCCTTGAGTATACTCACACTTTACCATGCCGTGTTCCAGGTTATAATGCTGGTCTAGTCGCTTCATTAATCTTTTGAGCATATTTCTCTGAATTTCATTTGAATCATCTGTTCAGGAAGTCAATATACCACAGTCAAGTAAAGAAAACTCTGAGGACCTCAAAATACATATGGTGCATAACTCTGATTTCTTAATCCTTACTTGACATGGAAAAACAGAATTTCCCCAAGCTTTGTTTCATCCCATAATACTATCTCTTAAAATAAAATAATGCTTGTTTTTAGAAACCCATGGTAATTTAAGAAAGAAGAAAATTCCAAATATAAAATGAAAACCTCATAAACAAGAATGAGGCCAAGTCAAGAAATAAAGGACAATTTAGTCTCTGCTCCAGTCTGTCAAGTTGAAAAAATTTGCCTAGTCAAAAGTACAGAATAAAATAGTGTTTTATCACAATACTTTACATAATTTGATTCTAATATTTAAATCTCTCTCATGTATACACCATGGACTCTTTGTTAACATCGACAAAGGTATCTGCAGGATTTATTGAAAAAGATTTAAAACTGGATGCTACAACAAAACTCTTCCACATTACATTCCAGAATTTAACATAATTATCAACTTTCCTGATAAGGCAGAGACCATGACAACTGTATTCCTAAAAGAGATTGCATAAACCAGATGAGGTACACACCTTTGACCCCAGGGAGAGGGAGGCAGATCCCGGACATGTTCCCAGAGCTATATAAAGGTATACAGAGAGACATTGTCTCAAAAAACAAACAAACAAAACAAAACAAGAGTTAAAAAAAAAAGTTATCCTTTGATGATCCTTCAATGGAAGGCCTCACCCTCCCTCGGGAGTGGAGGGGGGTGGTGTGCATGGGAGGACAGGAGGGAGAGGGAACTGGGATTGATATGTAAAATAAAATCATTTCTGCCAGGTGTGGTGGCCAATGCCTTTAATCCCAGCACTGGGGAGGCAGAGGCAGGGGGATCTCTGTGATGTGAGTTCAAGGTCAGCCTGGTCTACAAAGCCACAGAGAAACCTTATCTCGAAAAATAAAAAGATTGTTTCAAATTTAAATATATAAGTCATCATCAACAAAGGGTATAGACAATTCATAATGATTCAGAGGGAATAATAATAGCAAATAGCTGGACAATCTGCAAAACTTTCTTTGGCCCAGTAAAGGAGGTCCAGGGCAATAAACTACAGAGAGTGGAGGAAGCCGATTCTTCAATGAGACAAGCTTCATCTAAAGCAAAAGGCAGACACCACCTAGCACCTGAGAGAAAATTTACAGAACACCTTTGATTGTTGGGGCCAAGAAATGGCTTTACAAAAGTACAGGGCACCTGGGAGCTGCTAACCACAAGGATTAGTCATTCAGAACAAATGTGAGGAGTAGAGAAACAAGCCTGTGTATTTGGTGAAAATCCAGGTGGCTGGAAAAGAGAACAGAAAGACACAAAACAAAACCCACCTTCTACTACTTTAGAAAGGGACAGAGGAGCAAAGCCACGATTAGGAGCAGGTCAAGATGGTCCCACACCAAAGACCGCACCAACATATTTACACTTGAACTCAGGGCTTAAATGTGAATCTCCTCTCATCTTGCCCAGAATGGCTAGGAATTACAGACAGTTAAGCTTCCTGAACTCAATGCCGCTGTAGTCTAACTATTCTCCAAGGCCTTTTAACTCTAACAAACTATCTAGATTTAAAAGTCACCTCTACCACTTACTAGCTAGCTGACCGCAGGAAAATCACTTAACCCTTCTGAAATACAGTATCTCCAAACATATAGGTAAGGTATACATCACCGACAGCATAGTTTTATGATAATTAAATGAGTTAACACAAACACACCAGGCACAGAGAAAAATACTCAATAAATGCTGTTTTGTAATTATTAGCATTAGATTACTATTTTATTTTCTCCCCACCTGCTCCCATTGTCACTTCTATCATTAATGAAAATCGATTATCAGCTCTTACCTGTACTACTGCCACTGACTAATAGAGTTTTCTTCCACTACACTTGCTATACCATAACTATACCACATATTCTTTGTACAGGAGGCAGAGTGGCTTGAACTCAGAGTGATGTCTTTCTTCTGCTCATATCTGATGTGAGACATCCATATCGCTGTTGTAGCATCCAAATTCCTTAGCACACACATGACTTACTCATCATCCCAAAGAAAGTAAAATAGTTACCCAGAAAGTCCCAGCTCATCTCTCATAATCTAACCATCAGAAACAAATTTTTTCTTATGTTCACATATCAAAGAGCTACTGCTTCTTATTAATTAAAATTAAAGATCACCTTTATTATGGTGACTAGATCTCTTTATCTTGGTACCACAGAAACATATTCTACTGCATCACAAATGTTTGCTAAAAAAGTGAAAGCAGGAAAACCATGAATTAACATCAAAATATTATTCAAATAAATTATTCAAATAAAAACCCATTTTAAGCACTCTCACAAAGATACTAAATATAAAGTAGGTGTACAGGTTTTAGGAGGAAAATGTTCTCTGAGTTAACAAACTTACCTGGATGTTCACCTTGCTACAATCACATCCTGGCTGTAGAGCTTTAAAACCAGGTTTATTCAGTGACTTAACTTCCAGGACCCCTTCGGATTCCTTTATTAATTGGAGTGGCAACAATTCTGCTTCATAATGATGTCCACAGAAAATTCAAATAGAAATAGAAAATTCAAGCTGAGACTTGCTGCTGAGGACACAAAGAGCAACATTGTATCCAAAGTATAACCCATAATTTGCCTCAACGATCTTTCACATAGTTTTGGTTTCTTTAACAAGTTAATTTCAGTGTTGGAGTGCAGGTGTTAGAAAAACATACTACTTTATAGGTTTACTGAATGAAATTACAAACATACAGCAAGCTTCTTTTTTATTTATTTAATTTATTTTATATAACAAAGTCCATTTAAATGAAAACAAACATTTATAGACAATATTTGGGAATTTGGGCGTTGTTCTTTCCAAACTACTTCCTGCTGGTAAGGGGCGTACAGCAAGCTTCTTAGGGGTTGAAAAAGAACTACTCTTCACTTACCTTTTGCGTTAAAAGTACTTCTAAAATCTAGTTTTGAGATCTGTAGCCAGGCATAGGGGCTCACGACTTTAATCCTAGCACTAAGAGTCAAAGGCGGGTGGATCTCCATGAGTTCAAGGACAGCTGATCTACATAGACTATTAAGGGACAGCAAGCGCTACATAAAGTCTCTAAAGGACAACAAAACTCTGTCAAAGTTTCACTAACTTTCACCACGGCACGGATTTTAAAATATATAGACAATGGGGGTAGGGGGGAGCTAGCTTAGTTTCTGTTTTGTGATCCCCTTTGGTAATTTTAAAATTTTGTGTTTGCGCCCTGTACCAAAAGCTTCTTCATTCCATGAATGTCAGGTGCCTCCTGCTCTAACTCGTAAATAGCCCAGAGAAACGACTATTGACGTTAACCGTGCAATCTTTCTTCGGAAACTTCCTGCCAGGCTCACGCACTAACATCACCACTTTCATGCGTGGGGATCCACGTTGCCACACAACTGGTCAGCACCTGGACGGGTACCTGGAGCCACTCGCCCCCCGCAGGACGCTTAACACGGCGGGTTTAACGCCGCCGGCGACACATAACGCACTTTCTGCACGCCACCCCAAATGTGCAACGAAACAACCCCCGTTATATCACCCAGGACCCGATCAGCCGAGACCCCTGAATTCACTCACCCACAAGACAACCGGAAGCCTGGCAAGTGTTTCAACACAGGCAGATGTGACTTCCGGAGCCCGCCCTGACAGACGCATGCGCACTGCACTAGACCCGGCGCAGCTTTCTTGGCTTCACAGCGCTGAGGGGACTAGGAGGCCAGACCTCAGCCAAGCTCCCCCGGGCGCTCCTCTTTGCACACCCCAAGTGGATCTTCAGGGAACTCGGGAAAGGCCATGAGAGTTAGATAGAGGGCTTGCATGCTTTTAAGAGTCTTGAATCCTGAAGCCAATAGGAACTATTCAGAACTAGAGTCCAGTTTCTGTTTAGTTGACTGAAGCCCTCGAAGGCAACAGCTTTGATTCACCTTCTGAGTTAATCACCCAAACGCACTTTTGGCAAGAATGTAAATACACAAAGACAATAATGTTATTTGGTTGTTATTATCGCAGTTTAGGGCTATTTATGCGATTTTCAGGCAAATTGAAGAACACAACAGATAACACTTTATTAACCTGAGGATTTTTCTTTCTTTGACTGTATTTTTGGGTGATCAAAAAAAAAAAAAAATCATAATTTAAGAAACTATATAACGAATAATTTTGGGTTATAGAAAGCTGAACAAAAGTGTATATGTTTCACTGGTTTATCACTGTTATGGTGGAAGTTCCACCCAAGCCCTCCTCCCCTATCCCTCCAAACCCTGCTACATCTCAGAAAGCCTGCCAAATGATGACCCCTCTCCCAGAGATGCTCAAGACCACTTCCACATGGTATTTAAACTGCCCTGCAGAAAACAGACTCGTGATTTTTGAGGTGTCCTCTCTGGGGGACTGGAAGGCCTTCCGGGAGCATTGCATACATTAAACGTGGGCT